GGGGGGGGGTAAGGTGCTGCCCAGCCTGGTGTACTATCATCATGGCGGGTCCTTCTTCCTCGTGCCGTCGCCCACATGGGCGCGACCGACGTCAGCAGGGTGCAACAGCCAGGGGGCCGGGCACGCGCCCTGGGCACTTGGCTCTGAGATCGGATCAAGGCTCACGCGCCCTGGTCCTCCGCCTCCCCCAGGCGCTCGCCCGCCCAGCGCTTGAGGGCCGTGTGCACAAAGGCGTACTGGGCCAGAGTCTGCACGCACCCCGCACGCTGGGCACGACACGCGGCCACCAGGCCGCGCAGGTCGGCCAGGTCCTCTGCGCTGGCGGGGCGCGCGCCGCTCAGCGCGGCCTCCGCCCGGCGCACGGCCACCAGCAGCACCGCAAACACGCCAGACCGCCCGATGCCGGCTGAGGGTTTGGGGGGTGGGGCGGGGAGAGGACGGTGAGGAGCCCTGGGGAGGGGAGACCACGGCCAGCCACCCGCTCCGACATGGGTCACCAGCCGCACAGGCAACGCCGCGCTCACCCGACCCCTCCTCCACAGAACCAACCCCCCTCGGAACCCCCCCCCCACCAGAGCAGTGGGCGAGGATGGGGGTCTGCACGGGGGCCAGCTCGCCCACCAGCCGCAGCAGCGCCTCCGGCGACGCCGGCACGCCGTGGTCGGGCCAGGCAGCGTAGTGCCAGTGCCAGACGGGGCGGGGCAGGGGGCCGACCCCGCCGCGCAGGCTGAGGCGTCGCAGCCAGAGCTTGGCGTGCGCCTCGCTGACGCCCTCAGTCTTCACCGCCATGCCGCCGAAGCGGCGCTTCCACCCCGCCTCCTCCGCCAGGTAGGTGGAGGACTTGATTACGCCGTTCTCCACTGCACGAGGGTGGTGACCGGTTGAACGTTCATGTGAGCTTGCATGCTGGTTGGAGGATGGAAGCACATGACCGTGTCAATGAGGCTGGCAAGGAGTAGCAGTGTCAGGCACGGCGCCCAAGACTTGGGGGCGGAGAGAGAGGTGGGAGCGGGGCAGGAGGTGCCACGGTACAGGCACGGGACCACCACATGTTTAGCCCACAACTCCGCCGCACCTGGGTTGGTCAGCGAGACGACGTGGGTGTGCTGGCACTCGAACACCATCTGCCAGAAATGCTCGCGGGTACTCCGCAGCGGCGCCTGGGGTAGGAGGAGGATAGCACTCTCAGCGGGACAGAGGGGTGGCCCAGAGGGGCGAGACGGGCGGGCCCAATACCAATCCTCCGTGAGACCATTCATACCCCCAATGTTACATGGAAGACAGGCCTGGTCGCCATCTGGGTCCTGTTCCCCTGCACGCTCCTGAATCAATCAGATCCCATTCCCCGAATCAGGCCCCGGTGCTGAACGGCCTCGTCAGGTAAACCCCGCACCTGGGCCAGGGTGAGGTGCCAGGGGACGTCCCCCGGCGCCCCCTCCAGGGGCGAGGCATTGATGTACAGCGGGTCCGAGACGGCCCCCGCGCCGCCGGGGCTGGGCTCCCGCCGCAGGCGGATGCGGTGGTCGTCAAAGGGCAGGACGTCGGAGTAGCGATTGCGCTCCATGCAGCCGGTAGCCGCCGAGAAGCCGCCCGCGGCAGCGGCCGCCGCGACGGCGGCCGCGTCCTCCTCCCCAAGCGCCAGGAACTCGGCTTCCAGCAGCTTGGGGCTCAGCTTCGCGGCAAGGCGTGCCACCAGGGCCTGTGGCGTCGCAGGGTCGCAAGCGTGAGTGCCTTGGGTGCGCTCGGGGTGGGGCGGGGCGACATGCATCGCCTGGCTTCAGTACTCTAAGCAACTCGTGCCCTGAGGTGACAGACCATCAGCAAGCGCTGCCCCGCTCCAGACCCAGAGGGCCGGCCCTTCACCTGCAGGAGGGCCCTCCCCTCCGCATCGAGGGCCTGCCTGGTCACGGGGGACCGAGACATGGGGCCCCTCAAGACAGGACCAGCGCGGACAGTGCGTGGGATCAGCGTGGCGCCGCAGCCCCGTGCCGCGGCCTCGCTGTGGTTTGCGCGCTGCCGCCGGTGCGCTCAGTGCAGGACGGAGGGCGGGTTGGTGGTGAGCAGCATGCGCTTGACGACGTCCAGGCTGAAGACGGAGCCCCCCTCGCCCGAGATGGTAATGTCAAAGGGGAAGGTGACGGCGGCGCTGGAGACTACGGGAGGGATGGCGTCGCGTCGGTCGTTCACGGTGCGCAGGATGGAGTGGATGCACTCCTCGAGAGAGGCCTGCAGCTGGCGCTGCTGGACAGAGTCTGTGTGGAATGGGTCAAGGGGAGGAGTGAGGCGGTGGGTCGAGAAAGGGGTGGGGGTCTGTATACGTGATGGGCAGACATGCTGGGACTGGCAATCTGAGTATGCTCGAGGGGTGAGCAGGGCCAGTGTCCAAATTCCGCAGACCCTTTGCATAAAGGATAGCCACATGCACCTTGCTCAGAAAGGGAGGCAGACTCCTTGGTGCTGAGGTTGATGTACCTGTGTGGGTGCGGGCACCGCGCATAGGAACAATCAGCAGTCGGTAGGGTCGTGTCTTTCACCCCAATACCCCCATGGTGAGCACTTCACGACTGCGCGACAAAACATTCACTCAGCAGGTCAGGGACCCAAAGCCCCTAGGCTGAGCAGGAGAGCTACCGGCAGCGCATGCTGAGGTCCACCATCACACGTCTCCCGCACAGGGCGCCTGCCACTGCCTCTCACCACTGCTCCCAGTACAAGCGCTGTTCCTGAGACCCAAACCAAGCCGCCTTCTGACGTTTCTCGTAGAAGGACAAGCAAACCTGGGAAGGAAAGGTGCTCGAAGAGGCTGAAGCAGGGTGATGGCGTGCAAAGGGTGAGGACGCGGGACGATGCAGGCTGCATGGTGATTCGCAAGGCGGCCATGGGGTGGTCACCCACCCTGCCCATGCCATTCCCACCTGGCCGCGCTTGCTGGGGTTCTTCTCGACCCAGGCCGTGAATTGGGCTATCTTGTCCTCGATCCTGCGCTCGACGCTCGGATCCCCACACTGGACCTGCGGATGGCGGGGTGATCCTGTTGGGTGGGCCTACGGCTTGAATGGGCGGAGGACCACCAGGGGCCCCGGTTGTACAACTTACCCAGGTGAGATCAAAGAGCTGGGAGTCTACCTCCTGGGGCCTCACGAGTCCGAGTGCCCTGTGGAAGATGATGGTGTGCAACAGGGCGCGCAGGACCTCCGGAATCTGATGTGCAAACACGTCGAGTGTGCCACGGGCCGGGAGCTGGACGACTTCGCAACTGCTCATGGCGCAACGCAGAGGGTGATCTGATGCCTCATAGCATTAATCTATGTGCTGATTCTTGGGCTGGGATGTCGACCGAGCTTGTGGGCCGGGTTCAACGCGACAGATTTGACGGAGTGGCCCAGGCCCAGGGTGATTGGGAGAGCCGGAAGGAAAGTGGGAAACCGACTTTAGGTTGTGTGGGTGAAGACTACCAATCCAGGGCCTTCCTCCGACATCTTCCCCCACCATTGCAACTGTCTTGTTACATCGTTTCGTGCCCCGCGGGTGACTCGGTCTGCGCCGGGAGGACTTTTGGGACCCTCGGCGGTTGAGGTCCGTCAGCCCCATCCCTCAGCGTAAACGCCTATGGAGTCGCAGCACCAGACCCAATCTCCGTCCTCGGTCCCGGACACCAAGCTCTGCAGCAACAATTGCGGCTTTTTCGGGTAAGATTGGGAGCGCGCGGTCGGTGCGCTCGATGTGCGCGTCAGTCTCGGAGCTTCCTGAAGGGGTAAGCTTCGGACCTCCATGTCTCGTCCTGAATCTCACCTCCCCGCCCTGGACCGCCATCAAATAGGAATGCGGCCACAGAGGGCATGTGCAGCAAGTGCTGGCGGGACACCGAGGTCCAGCGGCAGAAGCTGACCCGGCCTCCCGGGCTGGTCACCCCGGGCCCCCTCCCCATTGAGCCAGCGGCGGTGCCATTGCCTACAGCGCCCTCCTCCCGCGCGAAGGAGCAGGCTGCAGTCCAAGCTCCCCCTCGGGCCCCAGTGCTAGCCGCCCAGCCCTCTGTTCCAGCCATCGAGGCTGCAGCAGATGCCCCTGCCCGCCCCGTGCAGGCCCAGCGCAATCGCTGCTTCGGCTGCAACAAGAAAGTGGGCCTGCTGGGGTTCGAGTGCCGGTGCGGCTTCGTGTTCTGCTCCTCGCACCGCCATGCCGCGGACCATGCCTGCACCTTTGACTATGTGGGCATGGACAGGGCCCGCCTGGCAGCCCAGAACCCCCTGGTCGCAGCCTCCAAGCTTGACAAACTCTGAGTAATCAGGCCTGCTTCTCGTAAACTCTCGCATACCTGTACACTCAGCCCCCAGGGCGCTCCTTGGCGCCCCCTTGCTCCCCTTCTGCTGTCCTGCCCCTCCCCCTCTGTACAACCATCCCAGCAGGGCCTTTGCTTGCACTTTATTGCCTGATCCAGTATCATGAATGTTTGTGTCATCAGTCGTACTCAGTACAAGCGCTGGGAAATGGGTTACTATAGGGCACAGCCGCCACGGTGGCTGTGTTGTGGCCTGGCAGCAAAAGTGGTGGGGAAAGGGGGGGCGCCCAGCCCTTCCCGTTACGACGCAGCAGCGCATCCTTCTGAACAGCAGCATGCTTGCACGGCCATGCCCGCCTCGCGTCTCAAGACACCAGGCTGCAGTATTTGCCTGGGATGTTGCGACCGGGGCCGGGTCACGCATCTGCATGGCGACGCACTTCGCCCGCAAAGACTGCTGCCGAGTTCCTGGTGTTTCCCTGAGACCCAGGTGCCCGGCTGCTGGTCACCACCTGAGGAGGCCCGCCCAGGCCACGCTCCAGCCTCAGGAGACGACAGCGACGAGGGCGGTGATGTCGTCGGCCTTCCCCCCGCGGTAGATCATGTCGAAGGCCTCGGTGGCACCGCGGCTGTAGGGCGTGTCGCGCGCCCGGTCCTGCGAAGCCTCGAAGGCGGCGTAGGCCAGCCGTCGCGCCACGGCGCTGACCGTTCCCCCCGCGTCCAGCTCATGGTTGACCAGCGCCACGATGGCCTCGTCATCCAGGTTGTCGAACAGGCCATCGGAGCCGAGGACGAGGGAGCAGCCGGGGCCCACGGGCAGCGAGGTCAGCATCGCGTCCTCGGGCGAGTCGGCGCTGGGCTGCGCGCCCAGCTGGAAGGGGTAGCCAAAGGAATGCTCCTGCTGGGGCGAGCGCGCGCGCAGCGCGCGTGGGCGGCGCCGCGCGCCGGGGCCCCCGCCGCCGCCGCCGCCGCCGCCCAGGAGCATCCAGCCGCTGTCGCCCAGGTTGGCGGCGGACATGACCCCCCCCGCTGCGTTGACCAGCACGACGCATGCCGTGGCCGAGCCCAGTGTGTGCACCTCGGCCACGGCGCGCGCGGCGGAGCGCAGCGCGCCCAGCGCGTCAGCCGCGCCGCCGGCCACCGCCGCGGCGCAGCCGGCCATGAGGCCGCGCGAGTAGGCGCCGGCGTCCACGCCGCGCTCGCGCCAGGCGTAGACCCCGTCTGACACGCCCAGGCCCACCACTCCCGTCTCCGAGGCGTGGGTGATGAAGTACGCGTCCTCGCCGCCGTGCCCCGCGCCGCGGCGGTTGACTCCGCGCACGCCCTCCGCCACCTTCTCCGGGTGCGGGATGGAGAAGGCGGAGGCGGCCACCGACATCTGGCTCTTCAGGTTGTACCGAGGGTCCATCATGGAGGACAGGTGCACCGTGAGCGGGACCAGTACGCGCTCGGGGGAGCCTGGCCGGGAAGGGGGGGAGTGGAGAGCGGGGAGGAGGGATGGTTGGGGTGGGGGGCGATGGAAGGGTGCAGGGTGTGCTCATGGGGTGAGCAGGCACTGCACAAAGGGTCCAGGGGCAGGAGGGGCAGGGAAGGAGAGGAGGCTCACCCATGACCGCATGGCAGGCACGGCGTCTCCCGCGCAATGGAACATACGTGCACAACCACGACCCCTACCTATTGCCTGGGTCACGTGGTCACGGCCCAGCCACTCGGCACATGGGAACGTCCAGCTGTCGCCCTCTGGGCCCACCACCACGATCCTCTCCAGGAACCAGCCAGAGCTGGCACCCGCCTCTTCATCTGCAAGGGGACAAGGATGGGGAGGGACAGGTGAAGACACCGACTGTGCCCGGTGGCTGTACGCCAGGTCCCACGACTTGCACCGCAACTGATTCAAAGTTCCGCCGGGCTCCACCAGCACCCGACGCATCAACCCCCACCCACATGCACACCTGCCGCATCCAGGGGGAGCTGGCGAATCAGCACCCTGTTCAGCTGGCCAAGGTGGGGGGCCTGCACCACATAGGTCTTGCGGGAGGAGCTCTCAAACCCCATGGTGGAGCCGTCACTGCCAATCAGGTACGGCTCCGACTCGCCATCTGCAGGAGAGGGGGTGGGCGGGGTTGGGGATTTTGTGCCAGCAGCCATCCGAAAGCAGCCGCTGACCCTCAGGGAGAGCCCTGCATGGCCTTGCTTCCCGGGTCACTGCAGCCCAGAGGGTCAGCACATTCCCCACCCCTCCCTCGTCTGGTCCTCACCTTCACCAAATAGCTGGAGGAGGGCGGGAGTGGGCGTGCCTGCGCCACGCACGCTGCCCGTGACGATCTGGATGTGGTAGGAGCCTTCTGGACGATTCGCTTCCTTCCCTGCCAGGCTGTGCTGGAGCCTCGGGAGCGGTACCTGGGCCGAGATCGTCTGGCGCGCTTGGCGTGCCTGCCAGTCGGGCTTCGCCAAGGCAGGAGCGTCCAGCTGTGCCAGGTCCGCGGCTGGCCTCGCCAGGATCCGCAGGCTCGAGAGCAGGCCCTGTCGTATCCTGAGCACGCTCCTCAGAGCCATGGCCGTGGAAGGTGTGGCGTGTCAGGTGCTCATCGCCCCCAAGGTGGGAACAGGGAGGGGCCCTTGGCCCGCAAGCCTGCTCCTCACCACTCCTGGCGGAGCGACACGAGCAAGACGAGGGCGCACACAGCGAGTGCCGGTCCCCTGTACATCAGTTGTGGCCCCACGCCCCAGTCCATGGTGATCGTGGGTGCAGATCCAAGTGCTGGGGTTGTCTCGCACACCCGCGAATGTCGCGCCTTGACGGGCCGGGGTCGATTCCCCAGCACTCTATCCGCAGCTGTTTGAGTCGTTACTTGTTACAGGAATATGGTTGGCACCAAAACGCAAAGGGGTTGTGTTGAAAAACTCGCGCTATAAATTTGTGCCTTTTTGGACCCACCCACTCGTCAAGCACCGGGAGTCGACCCACGTCCGCGCCCACACCATGCTACGCGTTTCCGCAGCCCTGCTGCTCGTCTGCCTGGCCGGGCCTCACGTCTTGGCCACTGCAGAGGTAAGAAGATGGGTGCACTCTGCTTCTTCGGGTTATGGGCTCACTTGCGTTGACTCTGACCAGTTCGGTACGACTCGGTTAGCTTGAACCGGGCACGTCCGACAGGTCTTACTTGGGGTCACGCTGGCCCCCACCCTTTCTTGATTTGGACCATCTAGCGTGCGAACATCTTCTCCAGTTAACCCAATTGACTTGTTGACTGCCTCGGGATGTGCCTGGCGCTGCCCCTCGGAGGTCAGCCCCGTCCGGAGTACTTCGCCGTCCGGCTGGCAGCTCAGTCGCAGTCGGACACGGACCCACCACCCTTCCTCCCGCCCGCGCGGTCCCCGCAGGTCACATGTTCCATCACGAGTGAGCTGAAGGATAGCTTCGGGGCTGAGGACGGCACTGCCGCCAGCCTCGTGCTGTCAAGCACCCTGCTGGGCCAGGTGTCTGAGCTGCCCAGCGGGACCACCCTCCTGGTGCCCAGCCGGCAAGGTGCGGGGTTCTGCACCCTTTCTTCCATGGGGGGTCAGGCTTATTTGGAAGACCTGACCTCCATGTCATGGCCATGGCAATGGCAGGGTGAGAACCTGAGAATGTGCATTCATGGGGTCCGGTCCAGCTTCCGCCAAACACAGCCCGCCAACCCTTCACCCCGCCCTGCCCCGCACAGCCTGGCTGGAGTTCTTCCATGGCCTGGGTTTCAGCACCATCACCAGTGCCATGAGAAATGCCACCCAGGACCGCCACCTAAAGAAGCTGGTGCGAAGGCCTTGTTTGCTGGATGGGCAAAGGGGCAGTCCCAGGGGGCACTGTTGGTGTGGGCCATGGTATGCGAGAGCGCCCACCCCCTACACCGCGAGCTCCCTCTGCCCCACATGGCCCTTCTTGCTTCCGTTGATCAGCTGTTTCAACCCTTCAAATTTCCTCTCGCCCATCGCGCCTGCCCCCGCCCCGCACCCAGGCATCCCATCTCACAGCCTGTTCTCTCCACCCCCCCCATTCCCCCTCGTCCCTCCCCATTCCCCCTTTCCAGATCAACTCAGTGGTGCTGTACCACGTGGTGGCCACGCCCGACCTGAACGCAACGGGCGACGCCCTTTACGTCCCCATCCATACCGCCCTGGCAGGCTACAAGGCCACCTTCGAGTTCGCCGAGGGCCCCGGGGAGGGCGCCACCACGGTGGAAGGCCTGGTGACTGGCGCGAGCGTGGTTGAGCAGGGCGAGGCTTGCGGGACCCCGGCTCTGCTCCTGGACGCCGTGCTCCTGCCCGACCAGCTGAAGAAGCTGGCCGGCACGAGCTCCCTGGACATCCCCGACGCGCTCGACGCGCTGGCAGCCGGGAAGGACGTCAGCCGCCCACCGCCGCAAAAGGGTCCCTCGCCGCCGCCGCCCACCGCATCCCCACCACCCCCGACCGCATCCCTGCCGACGCCGCCGACCGCATCCCCGCCCCACCAGACGACCTCGCCTCCCCCGCCCGCCACCTCGCCTCCCCCGCCCACCGCATCGTCGCCACCTCCCACCGCATCACCTCCCCCGCCCGCCGCCTCGCCGCCGCCGCCGGCCTGCCCCTACGCAACCTGGGCGGACGCGACCGACGACTTCCCTGACCTCACCATCATGCAGGGCCTGCTGAACCTGGCCAACATCTCGCTGAGCCTGCTGGGCGGGCCCGAGGACGGCGCCACCATCATGCTCCCCACCTCCTCCGCCATGCTCAACGCCATCCATTCCCTGGACGTGACCGACGCGGAGGCGGCGCTGCTCATCACCCGCGTCCCCGCCATTGCCGCCTACCTCGTGGTCCCCAAGGCACTGCCGCTGGACGAGCAGGTCCCCGCCACCAGCTTCCAGACGCTGCTGGGCAGCCTAACGGGGGGGTCCTACCCGCTGACCTTGCGCGTGCAGACCAACGCGGAGACGGTGCCCAACCAGGTCAGGGGCAACTTCAACGCCGCCAACATCCTGAACACCACCCAGGTGTGCTCCTCCTGGATCTACGCCCTGGACAAGACGGTGCTGCCGGCAGACACCGTGGAAGCCATGCCCCTTGTGTCCCTGGACTGACAGGGAGCGGGCCCCAGCAAGGAGGGGAGGTGCCGCGAGGCACCCCCCGGAGGCCCCTTGCGCCGCGCGCGAGAGCTCCCATTGGAGCTCTCGACGCGCCGCCCGCCGGCCCGCCCCGGGGAGAGGACGTGCCGCAAGGCACGCGCCCCTGAAACACGGCGTGGGCGAGGCTGGAGGCGGGACCCCAGTCCCGACACGAACTTCCTCCAGATTATTGAACGAATTCTCAGCCCAGTGGGCACCATGCCCGCCAGGGAAGCACTTGCTCCATCATTCCCAATACTGACCGACTGACCCCGCCCGCACCGGGGTACATGCCCTCTGCGCCTTGTAAATTTATGTGCTCTCGATGTGGGGTTGGGCGGGGAAGGGTGTAGGCAAGGCAAAAAGCCGCAGGGCTGGCTGGAGCGCTCACAGTGATTCTCGTATCATTGGCTGTCAGCTGGGCACAGCAGATGCTCAACAGGTCAACTGCCTGATCAAGGGAGCGTGCATGCATGCAGGCATGAGTGCACCGCAGCAGCAGGGGACCACGGCAGGCACGGTGCAAACACCGCAGCACAGCGCCCGCCTAGGCCGACGCGGCGGCGGCGCGGCCGGCGTACCGCGCCAGCGCCGCATGATTCAGCAGCACGAGCAGCGACACGCCCCCCACCTGCACCAGGGAGGCGTGGGGCACGAGCACGCTTGTCCCCGGTGGCACGGCGCCCCCGTTCACGCGCATCGGCCGGCGGCCGATGCAGCGCAACGCGAGTGAGACGGGTCCCTTCGTCCTGGCGCCCCCCGCGCCCTCCGTCTCCGTGGGCACCCAGAGGAGGGCCTGGCGCCGGGACACACGGTTGGCGGCCGTCGGCCCCGCCTCCAGACTTAGGTCGACGTCCAGCGGCAGCGTCGGCGACGCGGTTTCCTTGGGCCCGGCAGCGTCGGCCTGTGGCCCCGGCCCCGCCGACCCCGCCCCGCCGCCCCGCCCCAGCACGGCAGCGCCGCGCGTCAGCGCCCAGCGCCCCCGTCGCCCCACCAGCACGGCCAGCGCGCCGTCCGCGCCACCGTCCAACCAGCGCGAGAGCGATGCGGCGGCAAGTCGCTCCAGCGCGCTCACGTGCGCCAGCTGGTCGTGGAAAGCGCGGCGCGGGCCGGCCTGGGCCTCGGCGCCAGTGAATGCTGGCGCCCGGCTCGGCACCACGCCCGCGAGCAGCGCCTCCTCCGCCACCTCGAAAAGGGGGGGCGGGGGACAGGCCGCCAGCTGGGCACCGTCGGCGCCCAGGGCTCGGCGACGCAGCCACTCCCGCACGCTCGGGTGCAGGGCATCGGCGCCCGGCGGCCCAGGCTGCGGGGCAACGGGTGCCGCTGCCGAGGCGTGGTCGGCCACCCCTGCGTGGCCCGTCCCAGGGAGAGTGATTTCCCCTGAGCCAGGCGCCGTAGAAGCGTCACCGCCCCTCCCCCCCAGACCGGCCGCCGCATGCCCCAGCTCATCCAATGTGTCCCAGAGCTGCTCCGTGTAGATGGCAGCAAGGTCCTCCACAGCCTCCAGCCTGCGCTCCAGGAGCTGTTTCAGCGTCAGGGCCCCGGCGGTGCTGCTGGGGGGTGAGCCCTGCTGCGCTGGACCTGCCAGGAGGGAGGATGAGGATTGGAGTGTGTGCATGAGGGCATGGTGCGTCCCTGCACACACTCATTCAGAACCTAAACATGCGTCTGCTGGCAGAGGCCAAACAAGCTACCCTCTCTTCATATTCCACAGTTCTACATACCTTGCTGCGCCACGGTGGAGGGTCCTCTGGAGTCATGGGACTCTAGGGAGGATTGGCGACTCACTGACTCCTCCTCGCCCTCCTCAGCCTCCCCAGACCCAGACTCCACGTCGCCCGAGGAGGTACCCCAGGATGTCCCCGGAACTCGCTGGCCATCGGCCCAGGTCACCGTCTTCTTCCGCTTCAGGGCTGGAGCCTCCGAGAAGTCCGCCAGGCCCGCCTCATCTGAAGCGTCACGAGCATAACGTCAGTTTGGAGGTGTGCCATACGAATATGCAAAGCTGACCAGCCACGAGCCTCACCAAGGTGTCTTTTGGGCGCTGTCCCTGCCTGCTCCAAACCCCCAGTGACTGGTACATTCTTCGGAGGCCCCTCCATGGGCTCATCGACTCGCGCTATGGATGAATGCATCAATGTTTTCCAGGGTGGAAAGAAGTTTCACCTGCCCTTGTCCCCCAGGCACGACGAGACGGAAGCACAAAAGGGAGGTCACAGAATCCACGTGGCGAGCCGGAGGAAAGGAAGTCGCCCAGCCGACGCCCTTGATTTTCTCTACTGCGGGACCATAGTCGCATGGCCCAACGAGCCCACCCTCTTATCATCCCTCAGTGACAGGTCGACAAGCGACGTCTGACTCGGGGAAGACTTCAAGCCACATACAGGTGAGGAGCTCTAGCTGGCCCCGGCTCCAAGGGCCAGTGCTTGCTGTGGCAGGAGTTTCAAGCGAGGAACTCGTAATGTCTCCCCTTCTCACCTCCCTCTTTCTCATCGCAGAATGGCTGACGTTGCCAAGCCCACCAAGGTCGGCGTGGAGCAGGCCCATGAGGTGCCCATCCACCGCATCCGCATCACCCTGACCTCCAAGAACGTCACCAACCTGGAGAAGGGTGAGCGTGCGGGGCATCGCGGAAGGTGCATGCCACTCAGTGATGGCAACTGGCATCTGTAGGCTGTCGGCTGTATCCGTCTCCATCCCTCGCCCGAGACCCTCCCCACCCAATCCCGACTCCCTCTCCTTTCTCCCTCCCAGTCTGCACCGACCTGGTCCGTGGCGCCAAGGAGAAGGAGCTCAAGGTCAAGGGCCCTGTGCGCCTGCCCACCAAGGTCCTGCGCATCACCACCCGCAAGTCCCCTTGCGGTGAGGGTACCAAGACCTGGGACAGGTTCGAGATGCGCATCCACAAGCGCCTGATCGACCTGCACTCCCCCGTGGAGGTGGTCAAGCAGATCACTTCCGTCTCCATCGAGCCCGGCGTGGAGGTGGAGGTCACCATCAACGACCTCTGAGCGGCCCGCTGCAGCGACTGCCTGACTGTGTAACCTTTCAGGAACAGGGGCCCCAGAGATCAGGGCGCTGCAGCAGCCAGGGAACGCTCCGAGAGCGCCGGGTGCATGCAGGCGCGCATGGGCTCGGCGAGCCTCACATGCGAGAGGACCAACGGTGTGGCCGCTCGAAACAAGAGCGGTGCCCCGTCGCCTTGGGTGGGCTCGGGAGGGAGTGGGCTTTCTTTGTTCACGGCGCAGATCTCGCCGCGGCCGACCAAAACCCCCAAGTCGCTGCCTAGAGTACGCTCCAGCGCCTCGCTCACACCACGTCCCGCATCTTGCCCGCGACGGGCCCCACTGTGATGCGGCCGTCACCCGACACGCTGCGCGCCCGGCCCAGCAGCGGCCCGCCGGCGCCCTCCGCATCACCGCCCAGACCCAGCGGCGCGGGGCTGACGGCGCGCTTGGAGGCGGGCACCGGCGCCGCCGCGGAGGCCTTGCCGTACCAGACCATGCCGGCCACGGCCAGGGTCATGCCCAGCAGCTTGCGCGGCGACAGCTCATCGCCCAGGAACAACCAGCCACCCAGCAACACCATGACCGTCTTGGAGTGGCCCAGCACCTGCAGAGGGAAGGGGAACGGAGGGAGAGGGGGGGGGAGGGGGAAGAGGTGGGACTGCTGGCAATGAAGCTGGGCTGTAGTGGCTCACGGTCAAGGGGCACTCGATAGGTAGTTCAGGGGAATGCTGCCCAGGGCTCGGCTGCATGCCAATCACGAAGCCCCATGGGCAGTCTTGGGCGCATGGTTCCCTCTCCACCCTGTCCTCATGAGGCACCCTGGCTGCATGCTCACACCTCCACTCGAGCATCAGGCTGGACTCACAGATGTACACCCGTCCACGCGCCAATCCACAAGAATTCCTCGTCCCCCAGTGCCCATCGGCCTCAAAAACCCTCCCACACACACATGCACACCTGGAAGGAGACGGCGGAGAAGCGGCCTAGGCACATGAACTGGGTGATGTTCACCAGCACTGCCAGGATGCAGGAGCCAATCAGCCAGACCAGGGCGCCGTGGGTGAGGGTGTAGTGGAACACCCACCCGCCGGACACCACCTTGTCCACAAATGGCCCCACGACCAGCAGGGTCCAGGCCTGGGCGGGGGCCGTGTTCGACAGCAGCTCGTGGCTGCTGAGGCCATGCTTCTGTTGCAGGCTGCGCACGAAGATCTGTTGGAGGCCGGAGGAGACCACGGAGACGCCGGCGATGCACGCCCCAGTCACAGATATCTTCAGTCGCAGGTCCTCCACGGTCCTGCGGGGGTGGGGATGAGACAGGGTGGGGTTGGGCAGAGGCGCGCGCGCTGACGACGGTTTTGAGGGCGCGAGCCGTGCTTCGAGTGGTGCCCTGGGGCTGGTGGGGGAAGCCGTCGAGGGCATCACTGCGCGTTGCAAGTGGACTGGCCCCACGGGGCCGGGCATCGAGTCCAGGAACCGAGCGTGAGTGCAGCATTTTGGGAGGAGCCAGAAGGGCAGTCCAGGGGGTGGGCATGAGACATGCAGGGCAGGGAACAATCAGAAGCGAGTCCAAGCCAAGTACAGCTGTATATAGGGGTGGAAATCCCGGCTAAAGACGGAGGCGCCAGCACAGATTAGCCCTGCCCCGTCATGCAATCTCATGTTGGGAGCCAACCCTCCCAAGTCCAGGGGATGCATCATGGCATGCCGGCGTCTCATTGCGCCCTGCAGCCCACCCCATCCCTTCTTGGAGCCAAACCAAGCGAAGGGAAGTCACTACACCCCGGACTCACACAATGGCGACGCCGATGATGACCACGAGGATGGTCGTCGCGACCTCACGCGTGAAGGTGCGGCCCATGTAAAACCACTCCACAAAGCACACAAAGGGGATGATGAGGAGCTTGGCGATCTGGGCAAGGGAGAGACGGGATGTCAACATAGAGTGCGTTGTGCCAAAGTTGAACATTCTGTGTGGTACCGGGCATGAGCATGGCCGCTTCTGCTTACCACCATCACCACCCCCGACAGTGGAAGGACCCTGCACTCCATTACCTACCTGGTAGAACGAGACCGTGTTGATCATGAGGGACAGGTTCAGCGCAAGGATTGAGATGTCTGCCACCAGTGCAAAAAGGAGAACATCTGCGGGTGGGGCGGAGTAATGGGCATGTTGATGGTCAGGGAGGGCGCGATGGCTGATGGGCGCCAGCTTTTTGCGAGACCTAGGCGGGACCCAGGGTCACCCACCGCGCTTTGGAATGGACGTCCGCTTCACCAATCCAAGTCCCTGCGTCACCCAGACGCTGAACGTGCAGAACAGAAAGTGCATTGCCGTCAATGTAGTGGCTGCGTTTGGGGCGAGGACGTGGGGAGTCGTGCGTGGAGGGGGGAGATCTCAGAGTGGTACAGGGCATGTAGAGCAGTACAGACCATGTATCCGAGAGCAAAGCGCACCGAATCTAAAGCTATAGCCTCCTTCCGTGCGCATGAGGAGCTTATTGACGAAGACTATGAGGACTGAGGTGGAAACATTTCCCACCCAGCCGGACAAGTCGATCCATCTCTGTGGATCCATCTTGATCCGCGACAAGCCCTGATTGGCAAATTTCTTCTTAATTTATCGTCATGAGGAATTCTGGGCCGGGCCCTGCGGCTGGCCGTGCATGACCGAGGATGCGGTTGGGAGCGCAACTGCTGAACAGGCACGTGGCTTCCGAGCGCCAGTGGCAGGCACTGGCGCGCGACATTCCAAACGCTGTCGAAAATTAGTATGTTCCTTACATGATTTAAGTTTAATTGCAGTGCTTGATGGACTTGGACATGTGTAGGGACCTGTTTGGGTCCACAAGAGCGCGCTCCTGAGGAGAAAGCATCACAAGGGCCGGACCTCCCAAGGAGAGGTCGGTGAGGGGTCAACCTCAAGAATCAATCAGCAACTCAGCAGAGAGAACCAGCAGGGTTCTGGCGGCCGCCAATAGGCTGGCCGCGGTGCACCCGCCGCTGAGACTCCCCAGGCACGGCGACCTCACGCGCCGCCCTCACCAGGGTCGGCAATGGGCTGGCCCGCAGGGGGCGGGCACAGCGCGGAGTCGGCGCGTCGCAGCACACCCAGGGCGCATTCCACCGATCCCTTCAGCTGGGTCAGTGCCCCGGAATCACGGTGGGGCACCGCTCGCCAGCTCCAAGCCCGGGAGGCTGCCAGGACCCTGGCTCGAGCATCGCGGTGAAGCCAGTAGCCGGGGGTAAGGTCCCTAAAGGGATGGGAGGGAAGGGTGGTTGGGTACAAGAAAGGCGGGAGGGGTTCGTGGCAGTGACGATAGGAGGTGGTGGCATCCGCGCAACAATACTGGTCCCTCCAATGGCAGAGCCTGTGACAACTGGGTCCTGAGGCGATTGCTCGGTGCCACACCAGGGGTAAGCGACATCGTGGGAGTCTTCTGGAGCCTGGGACTGCCACCCCCCCCAACCTCCACCATGCTGGCTTTCCACCCACACAGCGTCTCACCTCCAGGCAGCCTCCACCGCTACAAGCGAGAAGACGGGGCAGAGCAGGTCCCTGGAGGACGGGCCGAACCAGACGACGCCGGGGTCTAATCCTTGGGATGCGAGCTCCTGTGCCAGCTCCGCCATGTCTGCCAGTTCGCTATCCCTCAATCGTTTCACTGAGCGTCGTCATGGGGAAAAAGAGAGTAAGAGATTGGTGCATCAACTACATAGGAGGCCGTGCTGAGTGGCTGGCAGGGGGACAAGGAGCATTGCATGGAGGCCAGCAGCGAGCATGGAGGAGAGAGGCATGACATCCCCAAAGACCAAGGCCACAAAGCACCTCCAAGGGCACCGGGGGATGCGGCACCCTGGGCGCCCATGGGCCTCGCACCCCAGAACCCTGTCCAACCCCCATCGACCGGTCACCAAGCCCCCGCACCTATGGGAGGCAGTGCTCTCTGAACCATGCTCTCCACCACCCGACTCGAGAGGCGGAAGTGTCTGGGACACCGCTGCTGCAGCAGCGACCAGGCGGTGAGCATGTCCAGGATGCTCTGTCATTGTGGGGGACAGGATGGCACATGTGAGGCAGCAGTATGGACAAGCAACGGAACAGGACCCGCATCTGGACTGCCCTGTAGCCTCTGGCGAAGTGCAGGGGGAATGCACCGTGACCCAGCCGCCTCGCAAGAGCACAACCATCGAGTGCCGCCCTGCAGGCAGGGCTAGCTTGGCCCCGCCATGCATCGGTTGCCACCCCATCCGTACCTGGGAGGAGAAGGTGTCCAGGCAGGCCGCAGTGGCGGGCCAGAGGGCCGTGAACAGCTGGTTGGGCATGGCCTTGCAGGTGGAGGCGAGCATGGCGGCCTGCTCCCACCCATAGGCCACAACCTGCCCCGTCAGGGGCAGGGAGCCGCAGCTCAGGCGCCGAACCACAAAGTCCACGTCGACATGGGGGATCTCTTCGCTGGTGGAGGGCGGGGAACCCCGGCCGAAGGCCTCGGACCCCCCGGGTCTGCCAATGGGGCTGGCGGGGCCAGCATCCCCATCCCGGCCGCTACTCGTGCCCGACCCACTGGCCTCGCCGGTTGGGACGTCCGAGGAGCGAGAACTCGCCACAAGACTTCCCTCTTCGACCGAGGCAGTGGAGGGGATGGAGACGCCATCCGCGAGCCCCACCACGCTCAGAGGCGTGCCGGGCGTCGGGCCCGGGTCGGCTTTCGTGGGCATCAGGGGTGCCGAATTGCTGGGCGCCAATCGAACCTGCATGGCTTCTTGGATTCTCCTGCATGTCAAGACAAGAGGTGCTTTGGCGGCTTGCTGCTTCCAAGCTGAATTGTTAGGTCAGGGTTTCAGGGTGTCGGGGACCGACAAGTTCATAATGTCGCAGCATCCTCACCTCAATGGCACACGGTAACGGCTCGAGAAAATAAAGTACAAGAATGTAAAATCATTTCCGAGGGTGCGCTGAAATGTGTTGCGGCGGTCGGCTTCAAGGTGCACGACGCCAAATCGACGGAAAACGTGGACGCATCACGCCTGAGCAGGGCATGCTAGACACCCCTCCCCCCTTGCAGTGGCAGTCTGCCCACCTTGTATAACGCTGGCTTTGCGACCTCCCTGTTCTCCGACCGGTCGGTGGTGCCGCGCCCACCAGCTGTACTGTACACACACACACAACCGGCTTCGCCCTGGGATCCCTTCCTGACGGCTGCGCTGGAAAAGATGAATGTATTCGGTCCAGCGGTGGAGAGTGTGCGCCTTTGGGGGTAATCGATGCATCTTGGAGATCCCGTTCCGGCGCGTTCCTTCGCAGCTGAGTGACCAGGCATTTTTCCGGAAGGTGTCGCGAACCTCTACCCCTCCCATGGACGCCCCTGTCCGGCACTCTTACAGTGCCAAAAGAGGCAGAACGTGTGTGGGCGCACGTGGACCACATCCGCAATCAACATGAGGGCAACTATCACTCGAGGGTGGGGGAGGGCGTGCTGCTGCCCAGGGCCGCGAGGATGGCCTTGGCCTCCTCCGTGGTGGTCTCCGCGACGGTGTTGAAGTCCGCCGGCAGGAGGGCGGCGTCCACGATGAGGTAGGATGCGCCGGCGCTGTCGCCGTTGGCCAGCACGTTGGAGGTGCCGGTGGCCGTGGTGATGACGGCGCCGTCGGCGCTGAACTGCAGGGACTCCTCCGGCAGGGCGGTCGGCACGGTGCCCTCGGCGCCCAGCTCTGTGGGGGTCAGGGCCCCGGAGGGAATGATGTGGTACAGGATGACGGAGTTCAATCGGTTCTGGATGGCAGCAGGAAGGAGGCCGGCCCCCAAGGCCGCGATCGCCTGGTCGAACGTCACTCCGAACGAGCTCAGCAACTTGGTGATGGCATCTGGCATGGAGAGCGCGGAGGAATATGGTGGATGAGGGGGGTGCAGAGGCCCGAGAAGCCAGGTCCCCCTTTTCATATCGAGCCATGGGCCCACCCTCTCCCGATGCCGCAAGCGATCCACCCCGCGAAGCTGTGATCGACCACATTGTCCTGCGAGCGCTTCTGCAGCGAACGCGGCCCCGAAGGCGGTGCCCTCCATCTCACCGTTATCTGGCAGGATGTAAGTGGCCGTGGGGATATCGGCGTCCTCGGGAAGAAGCTTGGACCCCGAGATCAGTTGCTGGATGTAGGTCACCTGAGGGAAGGGAAGGAGTCGCAGAGTCGGCCCAAGCACGCGAGCAACTTTGCATCATGCTCAAGGTTCTACCACATGAGATTGTGGCTGGGGTAGGCATTCAAGTCTGGTCTTCCACGGACTCCGTGCCTGAGAGCACCGCTTGGCGGTCCTACAAGGAGCAAGGGCTTCGTCCTCCCAAACTCCATCTTTGCACAGCCCAGGCAGTCAAAAAGAAGCTCATGTCCTTCACCTGTGGTCCTGTGGAGGCATCTGTGTCGATGTACTGGCCATGAGCAACAGCGATCAGGCCAACGACGGCCAGGATCAGGGAGGCGGAGCGAGCCATATTTGCGATGATGAGAGACACAACAACTCGATTGATTTGTAGCAAACAGGATTGTGCTGTGAGGTGTACTGTGGCCAGACCTTTGCTCGTGCATGATATCCTCAACACGCTTTCCAGTTAATTTAAACCGCAGCCACCGTATTGTCGTGGCAATTCGGCGTTCTACGCTGATAAAAATACACTTCATTACTCCTGGCATAAATATTATAATATTAGTCATTCCTTCCCTTTCCATACATCGGAGCTGTGGGGCATACTTTCGCTGCAGTGGGCGCCCCCTTGAATTGCCTCTAGCCTTGCCCACCATAGAGAAGAGCAGCATATCCCGTACACCCGGTGCATACTCGACTGGAGATGCCGCATGTACCTCCACTCAAAATGAAACGCTCGATAAAAGCCCGTGCGTCCCATAGGGCACCGGGTGATGGCTTTCCCAGTCTTGCTATTGGTCTGAGACAGAGTTCATTGGTCAGAGTTTGAGGTACATGATTTATCCCATGTTTCATGCCTGATTCTGCTGCAGGTGCGGGGGCACACTGAGGATGGGTATGCAAGGTCTGGAAAGAAAATTCTCACATTGATTTAGTCTATGGGGCCCTTGAGAGCAAATTGGATGTGCAGTAATCACTGTATTTGTACAGGGCCTGGCCCCCGAATGACGATCTTCCGCCTTGCACTGGCCTCTGGGTCATTCAGAGCCTCACTCCCCCGCTTCTGTAGGGTGGAGTGGCTCCATGCCGGCACCCGAGCCTGGGGCTGGCATGCTAGCAGCGGCTTGCGCTGCCAGCCGTGTGTCGCTTCCAGCATGGGAACATCTTCGGCCCGCATTCCGCCATTCGCGTAGTACTCGGCGAGAAGCTGGTGGTATGCGTCTTCGTTCTCCTGCCAGTACACCTGCGAGGACGTAACGACGTTGTTGCTCGCCGCTGGAGATGTACCAGGGTTAGTGCAGAAGCCCATCGACGGTGCACACCTGCTCAAGCCTGGTCTGCAGAGGGTCCGTCTGCTGTACCTCCATGCACTCATCCATCTTCTTGGGTTTCAAGTTATTACTATCGAACTATCGCAGAGGGGATCCCAGCTCCAGCAACGCAGGATGCGTTCTTGGGCCCAGGTTGTTACCGGGTTGACGTTAGTACATTACAGCAGCTCGGTAACGAGGATATACTAACAGACGCACGCTATTTCTGAGCTACATACATTAAATGAGACACTACACTACTGCTTCCCCGTTTCAGAGACACCCCCCATGAGTTGGTCTGACGCAGGATTCCGTATCCCCGACAGGGCGGGAGGGACAGCTGTCCGATGCGGGGGACGTCCTTTCCTTCAACTGCCCTTCATGGTCATCTTCGCTCTACAAGGCACCATCACTCGTACAAGGAAGCCGCCGCGGCAGCGCTCCGCGCTGCGAGGGTCGCAGACCCCTGAAAGCCGGGGCCGCCCTTCTGCTGCTGCCCGGCTGCACCGGCCTGGGCAGCAGCTTTTGACCGCATGTACCGCTTGCCTTGCTCTGCGACGGGCAGGGCAGGCATGGCGGGTCAGAGAGGATGGGGCGGTGCCATAGTATCGTACGGGAACGAGCAGAAGGCATATCGTAGAACATGGATGCTGATGAGTGATCAGCCAACATGCTTGAGAGGTGGACAACCACCCCTTGAGCGCAAATGCCACGGCCCCCCCGACAGTGGCTTGCCTGCTGATGAAGGAAAGTACGCCGAGATGAGGGATGCCTTGACCGGCGGTCCTTGGAGGGGCCCTTGTCCCAGCGGGGTGGAAGGCTGGCCCAAAGCAGGACTGACCGACGATTGCTGCGCCAGGTCTGGGGATGGGAGCATCGCTCCGGGCAGGGCAGGCCCCTGCCCCTCCATCACCTGCAAGTTGCAGGGAAGGGACACAGGGAGTCGGTCCAGGCAGGCACGCTGCTGGAGTGGATGACCGTGTGCATCTCAACAGTTGGTCAGTGGCAGGGGCCCTGTGCTCTCTGGAAGGGCGGGGTTCGCAGTGCCAGAGGACACCCCCGTGGATGGCCCACGTGCTGCACCTGTTGGTAGGCCTGTCGCATGGCAGGGATGACCTCCGCCAAGGTCCAGGGCTGAAGCGCTCGTGCAAGGGCTGCCACGTCAGCTTCCTGCATGCTTGGTGCGGGGAATGGATTGAGGAACGGGGGCGATTGGAGAGGACTGGGTGGTGGCACCCTCTGCCAGGACGAGCAGTGCCTCCTCTCCCTGGCCCACACAGCAGCCAGAAACACCATGTGCACCCAGGGCTCAGTGCCAGGCCGGCATTATCAGCTTCCTTCGCATCACATCGCATCGCACCACCCTGTGCTGCCTACCTGGCCTCCAGCCACGTCGGCATCTCCGGCCCCCATCGCCGCAAGCAGGCCCCGCGGCAGGCAGGGTTTCCAGACAGCTGCCAGCTGCTCCAGGGTCTTTCCGTCTCCCAGCCACTCACTGGAGGGTGGGGGTGGGGGTGCAGGGTCGTTTAGAGGGATCCTGGACGTTCTTCACAATCAGGAGAACACCCCAGGATCACCAATCAACCCTGCAGACACACTACGGCTCATGATTTGGGCATTCACACCGACCACTGCGCACCCATAAAAGACTCCCCCTCCAATCCCCCAAACCCACGCACTCCTCGCGCACAAAAGCGCTGTCCCACCTGGCAGCCGCAAAGCAGTCCAGCACGGCGTCCTGTGCCACGGCTTCCAGGCTGGCGTACCGGGCGCCTACCGCCGCCAGGGTGCACCCGGAGGCCTCCAGGAAAGCGAGGAACGACGCGGTGTCCGCGCTGACCCAGCGCGGCAGGGGCGCACGGGCGAGGACGGCCCCCATGTCCTGCGCGCCCCCCCCCACGGCGCACCCGCCGGCCTCCTGCTTCGCCGCGCCCGGCCCCGGGGTCGCGGGGTCCGGCTTGGGCCGCAGCGTGAGGGGGGGGAGGACGCCAGGCGCTCGAAGAAGGCGCGGAGCGAGCCCAGGGCCGCATCAAAGCTGGGCTGCACCGTGAGCGACCCCCGAACCCTGGGTGCCGGGCAAGGAGTTATTGGGGGAGGAGGAAATTGTGTGCGTGGATAGAGGACAGGGCAGGCGAGGCTGGGACGTTGACCGACGGCCGCGCCGCACGACGCCCGCCCCGCGCCAGCGCCCCCTCCCCCCCCAATCGCATGCGCCGGCCCACCTCCCGCGGCTCACCACCGGGACAGGCCTCGCTGGTTGGCCGGCGCCTCGAATCTGGAGTCCAGCAGGACGATGGCGCCCCAGTCGGCGCGGTGCCGGATGCAGCGCCCAATGGCCTGCGAGAGGATCGGAGGAATGCGTGGGGGGTGACTGATGCAGGGTTGGTGCCCAGACCTCTGCGCTGTTATCCCAAATTGCCTGCAACAAGGTCAGCGCCGCCCGCGCCCACCTGGTTCAGGGCGCGGAAGGCCTGCTGCGAGTACCAGGCTGACCCGGAGAGCAGTCCCCTGGCCCTGCCGGCGTCGTTGTAGGCCTTCTTCTCCAACACCTGAGGATATAGTGGGGGGAAGGCATGCTGGCACAGCTCAAACTACCAGTACACCCACAGGTAGGGGGAGCGGGGGCAGCAGTACCAGGGTTCAGACCTTTCCCACCTCTCAGATTCAACAAGCAGATGGGCATCCAGGCACGGTTCCCCAAAACGGCAACCCCCTGGCAAGGTGGCGGCCAGACATAGACCTCTTCCTAAAACCCATCCCCTGTCCTGCTCTGTCCTTTCAAATCCATGCTCATCACACCTGCTTGTCGTAGGCAGCGGGGTAGGGTAGACCTACAATAATGACAGCGCGAGCGTTGGCGTCCGCAAAGTCCAGGCCCTCCGACACCTGCAGATTTGTGTGTGGGGGGGGTGGGGATGACCACAGCGTGCAAGACCAGATGTACTGCACCCAGCGATGCCTTCCCTCGCTGTGCCCGCAGCAGTGGGCACGAACGGATGCCGTGGTCCCAGCGCTCGACTTCCCATTCGACACCAGCCCCCCTGCTCCCAAGACTCGCCTTGCCTCGGCAGACGGCCATGAAGAGGCCGCCCTTCCCCGCCGCGACGCCGTCGTAGTACGACTTCATGACCTCTGCCAGTGCCTCGGGGCCCCCACCCCGCGGCTCGGTGACGATGGGCTTGGCGGAGGCCAGCCTCTTCCACAGCCCCGTGGTCTGCGGGGCGGCTTGCAGGGCGCACGGGTGGAGGGGGAGGGGCAGCGGCAGTTCGCGGCTGGGGAAACAGAGTGCGGAAGGCCGCGCTGCAGCACACGCATGCGAGCGAGCGGTGGGAACAGCACGGCAACCATCCACCACGTGCCCACCTGCCAGCGCTGCGTCAGGCGCTCCAGCAAGGAGTAGGAGGGGAAGAAGAGGAGCACGCCGTCTGGGACAATGCCCACCAGCGCCAGCACCGAAGCGCCCACCCCATCCTGGTAAGCCTCGGTACTCACGTTCCGGAACACGCCCTGGGAGGGGTGAGGAGAGGGGGAGAGGGGGAAATGCATGCATGTAACTGGGAGGTTAGAGGGGCCAGCACAGGGTATACAGACTTGGTCCAGGCCTGCAGGAGTGCGTCGGCCCAGGGTCGCTCCCTCGTCACTTGTGAGCAGAGCCGGGGCATCAGCGCGTAGCATGCCGGTCCGCTGGCCCGTATCCCCCTGCTCCTTTGCGCACGCTCACGTTCAGCTGGGTGCGGCAGGGCGCCATCCCGATGACCCCGGCCCAGACCTGGCGCGCCATGTCCACCACATGCGGCGCCTCCAGCCGCACGTCAAAGGGGGTGCCCAGCTGGAAGGGGGCACAGTGTCGGGGATCATGTCGGGTGGTTGATTAGGGAAGGAGGCCGGCACGAGCCAGCTCGTCCACATGGGCATGGTAAGAGGCAACCAGGGAGAGGGAGCAGATTCAAAAACAGAGATGCTAGCCTCCGGGTCAATCTTTGACTCCACTGTCATACACCACTCGCCACTTCCTCCCCTTCACACACACAACATCAGAGATGAAGCACCGCGCCAGCTCTGACCTCGGAGGCAAAGCCTTCCAGGGGCGCCAGCGTCCCGCTGGTCAGGACCGTGGAGTGCGCCAGCTCTGCAGTGCAAGTTGAAGCTGGGATCAAGCGCTTGCGCTGGGTGCGCTGGGCCCCAGGTGCCCTGGGAAGGCAGCCAGGTGGAGGAAGGCAGCTGTGTACAGGTCCAGCAATTCACCGTACCTGACAGGCTCTTGAAGACCACCTCTGGGTTCAGGCACCACAGGGACACGGCAGACACCCACTGGCTCCCAGCCTCGTCCCTGGGGACGGAGGGAGGGGGAAGGAGAAGGGGCGGAGACATGCAGTTTCGTAAAGTATGCGCAAGGGTGGCGAGTACCCTGGGCGCTGCAAAGACATGTGGGGAAGGGTCCTGCAGGCCCATGCAGTGATAGGCCATCCCCCACCACCCCTTGCCACACTCACCCTCCACGTCTGAAGCGTAGGGCGCCGCCTCGTCGCCCCTCGGCCCCCATGAACGTCCTGGAGAAGACCAGCCTGAAGTCTCTTGACCCATCCGTGCTCACCTGAGGGAGCGGGTGGATCAGGGGAAGGGTAGCAGGCACAAGGCCAGCAAGAGAGCATGCATTCTGCCCGAGCAAGGCACCCACTCGAGCTTTGCCTCGCCGCAGGAGGCAGCTTTCCAGGCCGCAATGCGGTGTACTTTGTGCATCCCTGCCCCGCCAGCCTCGGAAACCCCTTCCCATACCCACCCAAACCCTTCCCAGGCAGGCCTTGCATCGGCCACTGCCCTGTTCCCGACCCCCACCTCGTGCAGCAGCTTCAGGATCTGGATGAGGCGGGAGGTCTGGCCCAGGGCCTTCCCCCCGACGCGCACCGCCAGCTCAGCAATGACCGGGGGGGCGCCGGGCGCAGCCGGTCCCGGAGCGCTGGCGCCCTGGGGCCCCCGGCTCTGCTGCATCGCCTCCTCCTCGGCACGCGCTGCCTGGTAGGCCACCCAGAGGGCCTCCACCGCGTCGGCGCCCAGGGCCATGTCCTTGAGGTGCGCCAGCAGCTGCAGGAATAGGGGGTTGGGGGATGTGTTTGGGGAAAAGGGGAAACATGAGATCAACTGTACTCCTCAGCATTGCCCAGTCTCAGCAGGTGGCTGCGGATCGTCGATGGTCCCTAAATAGGCGGCCGCCGGCACGGATGTGCAGCGGTTGAAGTTAATAGAGGGTGCGGCAAGGGCCTGACCTTCAACCCCCCCTGAAATAACATATGTCTGGTCCCCAACCACAGTATCCATACCCCCCGCCACCGCCACCCTCCCTACCTGGGGACCTTGCCACACCACCTCCTCCTTCTCAAAGCGGTTCTGCTTCTGGATGCGGATGACGCCCTGCGCCACGTCCGCCTCCCGCGCCACCAGCCACTCGTGCAGCCTGAGCAGCGCATCAGCCAGCGGCGCATAAACCTCCGGCTTGCCATTCATGGCGACCGCGCGTGCGAAGGAGGTCTGTATCTGCGCGGCAGGCGGGGTGTGAGTGGGGTTTTTGTGGCGGGGAGCGGGCTTGGGGCCGGCCGGGCACTCTGTGCTGCAGTGGCCGCGAGCACCCGCCCCATGCGAGGCCGGTCCCCCACCTCTGCCCACCACCTACCTCTAGGACCTCGGGTGCTGGAAGGTGCATGGAAGCTGCCTCCCGGGCAACGTCCTCCATGTTGTGCGCCTCGTCGAAGACCAGCATGTTCCCCTCCACGCCTGCAGAAGGGTGCGTAGGACCTGGACAACCGCCCCCTGGCACCGGGGAAGCCAGCCCATGTTGCGATGCTGACATCGTTGTGAAAAAAACACATTGATGCGGCCAGCCCATACGAGCCACGCAGCCCACGCACTGATGTCTAGCGCCCGTCGGATCACGGGGTCCACCAGGTAGCTGTAGGGGCTGAAGACCATGTCAGCCTCCTGCACCGCAGGGAGACCAAGGGGAGGGGTCATGGCATGCCAGGTCCAGAGGGGCTGGCAGATGCTTGGCACCCACCCTCATCTCGATGCACAGTCCCACCACCTTGGACCACTTGGAGGCCAGGAAGTATGGGCAGGCCCTTTGACCCCGAGCAAAGCTCCGCAGCTCCTCGATGTCGTGCACCTGCAGCGCTTTAATGATCAGCATCTGAAGAGGGCCGGATGAAGTGTGGTGGGTGGGTCCCTTGTCATGACTCTACAGCCCTCCGACAAAGAGCACCCACCCTGCTGGAGTAGCCAGAGCTGACCACGGCCTGGGTCCCCTTGAAGTATGAGCACTGCAGGGGTGTGGTGTTTGTGAAGTGAAAGGCCGGCAGGAAACCCGGAATCTGCTGCAAATCACTCTTCAGCCTGCAGGTTTACGAGTCCTGCTGTGCTGATTGCTGCACCCTGATTCGCACCTGACCCTCCTTTAGCAGCTCATCGCATGCCTCCTCGATGGACGGCTTGCTCAGCGCAAACTTGTTGACGCAGTAGTGCTTCTTGGAGGCCTGCGTGATGGGGAAGCACATCATGGGAGGGATCAGCTTCAAAGGTTCCCGGCTCCAGGATGGAGCTGACAATCCTTCATGCAACAAGTGCTCACGCACTGAGTAGCAAGCTTATGCTGCACCAGATGAAGGGACCCGGCTGTGCAAGGCTGGCAGATAGCATCCCGGTCTCGCTTCAGAGCAGCAGTCTGAGACCGGTGCACACCCCTTCACCTCACCAGTATCGCCATCCGGGGTCGGTAGCTGCTGCGCCGCAGCTCTGCCACCACCTGGGCTATCTGGGAGTGGGTTCGAGTGGAATAAAACACCTTGGGGGCGGTGCGGCGCACTGGCGGCGCACCCGGCGCCTCACTGCCAGGGTCGAGAAAACCTCCCTGGTGGTGTTTGAGGAATGAGACAGGCTTGAGGTCTAATCGCGTTGGCGCTGGGAGGGAAAGGGCTGCACCTCAGTCACGCATGGCAGAGACTTGGCAGCAGATGTGCAAGAAGCACAGCTAGAAGCAGTGGAGCATGGCGCGGTTTCTCCCATTGGTACCAGCAGCACAGGTCGCACGGGTGACAAAGACATGAGGCCCTACCCCAAGACCAACCAAGAGTGTCACCTCTGTGGCGAGGCCAGGGGCCGGCGCCTCTGGAGGGGGAGCAGCCGACGGAGGATAGGCGGAGGGTAGCCCGTCCTCGATCCGCTTTTTCTCGCGCTGCTGCCAGGCAAGGGAGGAACAGAGGAGCGAAAGCGTCTTCCCAGAACCTGCAGTGGTGGCGTGCAGGGCTTGAGGATGGTACAATCAGCCGGCAGACCCTGCTTGTCAAAGGTTCCTTGTCTTTCGCCTTACAGTGGAATTCCACCGACCATCTACCTGTGGGAGCTTCCAGGAGGGCATTCCGACCACCTTCCAAGGACTGAACACACTTGTTCATGAAGCTGAGCTGGACGCCATAAGCCTGGTGGGGGAAGACCACGTCACACCCCCCTATTTTGTACTGTGTGGGGGTGCCCATGCTGATCAGCGATGTAGGCGCAGGCTCTAATCACGCGTCATGGACTCGCCCATCGTCGCAACTAGCCTAAATGGAGTAGGCCTAGCCTGTTTATGGATATATGCTCCGTAAACTGAGCAGCACGGGAAACTAGTGCGCCCAAGCGGTCGGGGCGGGCAGCTGTGCGAGTGACTGCCAAGGTGCTCGTCAAGACTGGAGGAGGGTGTTAGGGGGTGCTCCCCGATGACCCGGCTCCATCCACAGACAACCCACAGGATTCATTACGTGTGGTAGCGCGCCCGCGACACCAGGTTAGGCAATGGCCGTAAGCTCGAGACTCACCATTTGTATTCAGATGGTGCTGGGCGTGCTATGTACCGGTCCCGAATCCGACAACATTTCCTTGCGTCCCGACATAAAGTCGCGACGATATAATCGCTCCCTCGACATCCTCGGCACCGATTCGAAACTGATCAGAGATCTTTCAGCAATGCTATCCAGCATGTCGCCTTGCACATCGCAGACGGCCCATAATGTACAGATAGGAGGCCGCATGAGCGCCCGGCCCCCACCACCCATCCACCAGACGGCCCCATGTGCGTCGCAAGTTCGCATGCATGCACTCTAGGTCCAATCTGATAACCTCAATCCATCCGTACTCACAGCTCCCGCCCACCCTGTACCGCAGGCCGGCGCATGCATGAGCCATTGGTTAACCTGTCCCTCCCCCGCGTGGCGTCATGGACAGCAGCTCTGATGGTGGCCGCCTCCCTGCAAGCATCGCCTGCGCACGCCGGCTCTAACCAGCGCCTGCCACCCCTCGACTCAGGTGGGGCGACGTTTGATTCATGGGAGCCCCCTCTGCCTGGTTCCTTTGCCTGCCTGGTGTTGAGTGCCCGGGTTTGAGTGCATGCCTTCTTGGCCCCGTGGGCATACTCAATGGTCAGCATGCCGCCCCTGGCCGCTCAGATCCGCTGCGCTGCGAGAGGGCCTTCACCGGCAATACCATTGGCCAGGCCAATGCGGTGTCTGACAAGATCCTGGACCTCCGCTTCTGCAGCTTCCCAGGGGCGGAGCTGAAAGGGAAGGTGCTGTCAGGTATGCAGAGGTTGTGGGGATTGATGGATTTGCCGAGGAAAAGCAGGGCTGACGAAGAGTGCGGCTGGGGCGGGGTTCGTCATTTTGCAAGTACATGCTCTGACGCCGGGGTGCAGCTACCTGGGGTGAAGGGCGGTCTTTGGTGCGTCCACAACCTATCATCAGGCGCATCGCAGCGCAGTGTATGGTCAGCCACGCACACAGCCACCCTCCCCTCCCAGGCGCGCTCCTGCTGAACGCTGACCTGTCTGGCGCCCAGATGCAGGAGGTGGTCATGTCCAAGGCCTACGCTGTTGGCACAAACTTCAAGGGTGAGGCGGCTGAAGAGGGATACGATGCCATGGAGCACACTTGGAGGGAAGCCAGGCACATAAGCCTGGGGACCCCCCGCTCACATAACATTGATCCTCTGCCATCCCCACTCCTGTAGGGGCCGACCTGACCAGCTCCGTTGTGGATCGGGTGGACTTTGACGGGGCCAACCTTACGGGAACCAAGTTTACCAACGCCGTGATCACTGGTGCGGCATGACAGGCCGAGGGTGCCTCGCAGGTCGCCTGCGTGCAGGACTCTGCATCCTGTGGGCTGGGCGCGCGCTCAACCCTGCCGCATGATGTGCATGTGAAGGAACCGCTCAAAGTATACCAAGCTCATCCTACCCTTCCCTTGCATCGCAGGCGCCACCTTCAAGGGAGCCAACCTGGACGGGGCCAGCTTCGAGGACGCCCTGATCGGCAGGTGGGTGGCGGGGCAGGGCAGTGCGAGCCGAGGTGCTCCTGGACTGCCCTGGCCATGATCTGTACTAGGGTCGCCCTCGGTCTCCAACCACACCTGACCCATCCACCCTCCCCTCTCCCAGTGAGGACGTTCGCCGCCTCTGCGCGGAGCCCAGCCTGACGGGGGACTCTAGGGTCCAGGTGGGTTGCCGCGGCAGCGGGTAATCGCCCCGCTCAAGCTCTGAGGGAGTGTGGATGGCGGCCCCTCCTGATGGCTCCAACAGGCAGAGCGGGGCAGGACAGACTGTGGCGAGGACCCTTGAACCGACAGCCTGAGCTACCCCCGACCCCACCGAGTGTGGCCTGGCCATGGTATATATCGAATCACAGCCAGGCATGGATGAGGGGCGAGGAGGGGTCTCGGGGATTATTTCCGTGACGGGGGACTGCAAGGCTCGACACATGCCAAGTAAGGGCGAGGGGTGGGGGAACGCAAGGCCGCATGGGGGCGGCGATGCACAAGAGGCGGTGGTGCACAAGAGGCGGTGGTGCACCAGAGGCGGTGGTGCACAAGGGGACAAAAACCGAGGTGAAGGTACAAGGTGCGGGCGGCAGTCTGTCCGCGCGCGCATGGGTGCCATGGGGGCTCAAGCATTTGGGTCCTCACGTTCGGACCATGGGCGAGTCGCGCCGCACTCAGGCGCGGCCGACGGAGGCCAGCAGGTGGCGCACGTGCGTGTACTGCCTGGAGTCGTGACGGGCGGCGGCCAGTGTTGAAGCCGGCACGCCGCGGCGCCAGTCGTGCTGTGGGGCCGGCGCGGTTGCAGGGGGCATCACTCGGCCCGTGCTCCAGCAGTCCACCTGCTGCCAGGCGTCCAGGTTGCGCTGCTGCGAGGCATCCAGGTGCTGCGGCTGCTGCCAGGCGTCCAGCTGCTGCTGCCAGGCGCCCACCGCCGGCGGCTGCCAGGCGTCCTCTGCCGGCGGGCGGGCGACGTCCCGCGGCTGCCAGGCCTCGCCGCAGAGCGGCGCCTTGTCCCTGACCTCCGCCGGCGCCCGGCAGGCTTGGTGCTGCAGGCACCGCGCCAGCTCCGCGGCGACGGCGGCGGAGGCCGCGCCCTCGCCTGGCGTGCCGCGCTGCAGCACCAGGCTCAGCAGCGAGGCCAGAGCGCGGCGACGCAGGCCGTCGGCCGCCTCGCCCGGAGGCGCTCCGCGCGCCGCATCCTGGGGCTTCGCCGCCAGCGCGGCGGGTGGCGTCCAGCCCCGGAACGCGGGGATGGGGGGTCGGGCTGGTGCGGCATGCATGGGCCGGGGTCGGTGCAGTGTGCCGCTCAGGCATGCGCTCGCCTCGGAGGCCAGGGAAAGGGAGCCCGAGGGCAGGGGGCGCGACAGCGTGCGCGGCGCGCCGGCGCCGGCGGCGTCGGCGCCGGGCGGGGCCTGCGCAGGCGGCTGCCCGCTCGGCTCCAGGCTCCCCGACATGCTCAGGCGCCGCGTGGTGCTGGCCGACAGCGTGCCGCTGCTACCCGCGCGCTCCAGCGGCACGGCGGCGCCGCGCGGAGGCGCGCTCTGGGCCGCCGCGTCGCCGCCCGCGGCGCGGTCATCCCCGGAGCCGTCTATGGCGTCCAGCAGCAGGTCCAGCCCGCACGAGCTCGTCTCGGGGCTGGCAGCCCGGCATGTGGCCGGCTGGGGGCCGGCGGGCCGCTCCCAGGCCCCACTCGGGGTGTCTGCGATGGGATGCGGCGTGTCGCCCAACTGCATGGGGGACGCGAGGAGCGGGGGCGGTGGGGGGTCGGGGGTCGACGGTGTTGGCCATGGGTCGACGGTGCTGGGTGTGGGTTGGGGGCATGCCAGTCGCGGTCCGCGCCACTGCCCGCGCCACTCACCTCATACTTGTACTGCTTGCGGTAGGGCCAGGCGGCCACGCCGTGGGCGCGGCAGATGCGCTTGAGGATGGTCAGGCCCACCCCCAGGCGGCCACAGGCGACCTGGGCCGGCTGCGGAATTGGGGGGGGAGAGGGGGGGGGCCCGAGGCGAGTGAGGACCTGCTCACAGTCGAGGAGGAGACTCGGCCGGGCCTTGTCGGTCCCAACCGGCGGGCCGCCCGTGGGGAACTGGGCGCATAAGGGTCGACATCCGTACAAGCCAACCGCTCGCGGCGTGGGTTCAACTGCCATCGCCCGGGCTCCAACTCACCAAGTGATAACAAGCTTCGAGTTCCTTCAAGGTAATCTCGCTGGAGAAGCGGCCTGCGGTGGGGCCACACGGGTGGGGGGAAGGATCAGTGGTCGGGCCGCGGGGGAACTGTCGCACCGAGTTATCACCTTCCCATGACGCTCTTCGGGGTAGGTCCATCGGTACGAACATCCGACGCGGCCCCGTCATATAAACCACGTTAAGGACCACACCGGGCACCACGCGACATGAGACATCAGCCTGCTCACCGGCACGAGTGCGCTTGCGACTCCGTTTGAGAGCGCCGAAGCCGGTGTCGCCCTCGCCCATGATCATGAGGAGCGTCCAAGGTTGCGAGTCAGGGTCAGGCGAGGCAGATTACCACGGAATCCGACACGATTAGCTGCAGATGTCAGCTGTGTGCGCGTCCACGGACGCGGCACGGGCCAGGGGAGCCTGCCGTCAAATTTGAGGCCAACTTCACGTTGTGCGGCTACCAGTCGTCGCGCGTAGGATCAAGCGCCGAGAAGGTGACCGGCGACGTCCTCACCGAGCTCAATATGCGTCTTAAATCCAAGGTGACATAAGTGGAGGTCACGGTTCCGCACCTGGCAACTTCGCCGATGGCTTCGAGGTGCTCACTGTAAAAGTCCGGAGATTTGGCGGATCTACCAACCCTTCGACCCCGGCGATTTCCGGGGTATCCCCGACTGAAGTACGTCACCTCAATTCAGCTGCCCTACAGGTTCGTAAACGGCCATCGTGGCCATGTTGTCGTCCCTGGGGCGTAAGAAACTATGTCGATCGGCCGGTTATTTTTTTTAATTGCTTACAATGGAGGGATGCAAAAGACAAGGGCCATCCGCCGAAGGACCCGACCGCCATGGGTGGCTCGAAGGAATGTGGTCCCCAGAAATAGTGCGCAGTGCCGAGTATGGCAGCAACCTAGTACGCCATCCGTTCGGGGCCGCGAGGGCATCATGGTGGGTCATATCAATTAATTTCGATGAGTTACCAGAGGAGGGACCCCCATCCGGACCTCCCGCGGCGTGTAACCCGCCTTCCGAAGTGGGCCTATCGGCAAATACAATGCTCGGATATGCCACGCAAGCTCATACTCGCACACATCCTCGCGTCGTCCGAGGCTCACGTGCTCGCAAGAAACTTCCATACGCATGACATATCTGCAGTTTGGGTTGGAACATGGGTTGAAACAGGCTCGTAAACGTGGTACTGCTTTCACAACACCCCGAATCAATGCCCGCGAGCCGTCATGCCACGCCGACACCGCGTAATCTCACAGTTCACGAGGCTCCAGACCGCCAGGAATGCGGCCAGCCACAGGACCGCGAGAGCCCCTAGGACCAGTGCGTGCAGCCCTGTGAAGGGTTGTGTGGGCTCGATGAGGAATCACCGATGTCCGGTGCACAGGGCACCTGCCACCAGCTTCGAGAGGTGCTCGTCTCCGGGCAAGGGTTTCCCTGCGCAGTATGGTTCCGTGACTCCCGGCCACACCCCCGGGCCCCTCTCACCAGATTCATAGCCAGGTCCTAGGATCAGGTCTGCATGTCGCAGGACGAGCAGGGCCGTCATGGCGACCATTTGCAGCGCGGTCTTCCATTTACCAAGGGAGTTGACCTTGACTGCCTGCAAGGTGGTGGGTGGATGGGGGGCATGGCCTGACTGGCAAAGGGCCTGAGTTAAAAAGGGCGGCTGCCAGGGCCGACTGCGCCCCTCACCTCGTGTGCCAAGCTCACAGGGATGGGAGAGCATTTCTCCCCCAGGCTCCATGCCCACCACCCGCCACACCAGCCCACCTTGTGCGCCTCGTTGCTCCACGCCGCCGCCCACTCCCGCAGCGCCGACATGGTGAGCTCGCGTGCCGTCATGATGACCACCGGCACGACCATGGCGGGCAGCGAGATGGGCGGGGGCGGGTCGCTGGCCAGGAGGATGAGCGCCGTGGATACCCTGGACTCGCAGCGCGGGCAAGGAGGGGGGTTGACGGGTGAACGGGGACGTTGCTGCAGCTCGTGCCAGTGACGACCACCACCTGGACCTGGGGAGTGAGCCATGCCGTTCTCCCCACTTCCCCCCATGCCCTGCTGCCAGTCACACTCACATGATCTTGTCCGCCACTGGGTCCAGGAATGCGCCAAAAGCGCTGGTGAGCTGCAGCCGTCGAGCCAGGTACCCGTCCAACCAGTCTGTAGAAGGAGGGAGCAGAGAGCTTGGGGTGGCTTTCTTGTTGGGGGGCAACACTCGGGTATGGAGCGGCGGCATGGGCGGGAGGGTGTCCCGTGGTCCCCCCCCTCCCCCCTCTCTGCGCACACACACACACCTGTCAGCGCAGCAATGGTGAAGAGGGCTGCGGTGGTGGCGGGTGCTGCGGTGCTGGTCCAGAACCATGTGACCACAAACATGGGCACCATGAACACCCGGCTGATGGTGAGCAGGTTTGGCAGGTTCAGGAAGGGGCTGACCGTCCCTGTGGACCTCTTGCGCAGACCCTCCAGTGCAGTGAGACGGTAGTAGTCGGCCCGTCGGTCGATGGGAGAGTCCAGCGACTCCTGGGGAGGACGAAGGATTTTGGGGCCTGGTGGGAGGCACACACAGCTGGTGGAAGGGGGGGGTGAAGGGGGCGCGCGGGAGCGACGGGTATCCCGACGCGGCACTGTATCTAGATATGTCCCCTGGATCACCACTTACCATTGTAGATACCCGGAACAGGGGCACCCCCCTGATTGCCCGCTCACTGCCCCGTCGCTTCATCGTGCCACTTGACCCAGCCCAAGGCGCGACAACACAGGGCAACGCTGCTTTGCAAAGTATCTCTTAATGATGTAGACCCGGGATTCGGGTTCCTCCATGCACTCAGAGTCTAGACCGCAGGGTGCGCTGAGATCTTCCCCCCCCGCTGAGACACCTGTTCCGCCCAGATTCCCTCTGGGGGCCTCATTCCACGACCCTTCACCCTTTGTCCATGGCTGGGGCTGGGATCGACGCATACCATGCACACCAATAACAAGCAAGGAGATGAAAACGATTGCATCAGCGCGTGGGGGGGGAGAGGACCACCTGGGACCTCGTGTTCACGGAGAGGGTGAGGAACAGTGCAGCAGCAGCGTGGACTTTTTCCCTCGGGTCCTCACCCAGGCACGGAACGACACCATTCATCAGAAGCACTGCTTACTACTGCAATAAACACACCGACTGATCGTGGATGGGGCTGATGAATCGGTTGGGAAATCCGCTGGCTTCCTCACTGGGGCTGGGACAGGTCCATGCCGCCCTCCTCGGCCAGACGCCCCCCCCCGCACCCAGGCCCGGCACTCCTCGGCGGCCCCCGGCCTGGCCCAGGCCTCGGCCTCCCGCAGCCCCGGCCCCAGGTCCGCCCCCGCAGCGGCCAGCGTGCGCAGCGCGCCCACGTGGCCCCAGCGCGCGGCCAGCAGCACGGCCCGCGCCAGGTGAGGGACGCAGGCCCCCGGCCCCGCCGCCAGCAGCGCGCGCAGCGTCCCCTCCTTGCCCCACTGCGCCGCCAGGTCCAGCGCGGTGCGGCCGCCGGGGTCCTCGGCCAGCAGCCCGCCGTCGGCGGCCAGCGCGGCCGTCGCAGCCGAGTGCCCGAACTGGGCGGCCAGCATGAGCGCCGTCAGGCCCTCGCCGCAGCGCTGCGCGGGGGAGGCCCCCGCCGCCAGCAGCGCGCGCACCACCTCCACGTGCCCGCGGGCCGCGGCCCGGTGCAGGGCCGGCTTCGCGCCTGGTGGTGAATTCGATGGTAATAGGGGGGTTTAGTCATCGCCCCATGGGCACCGGAGCGCCGAGGCTGCGCGCGCCAGCTCCGGGGGGGTGGGGGGGGGGGGGCGTCGCGCCGCTGGAGCCACAGCCCGCCTGGCCTGGACCCGAACCCACGCTGCCCGGCCCACCTGGTTCGTCGGCCACCTCCAGGCTGGCCCCGGCCTCGAGCAGGAGACGGACGGCGGGCAGGCGACCATACCCCGCGGCAAACTGGAGCGCGGTCTGGCTGCGCAAGTCCCGGGCGTCCACGTCGCCGCCGGCGGCCAGGAAGGAGGCGATGGCAGCGGTGTCCCCCAGCCAGGCGGCCCTTGCATGGAGGTGAGGGGATCGGGAGGAAGGGGGGGGGATAAATATGGTGCAGCGAGTGACAGAGGCGGCGACGCTCCTTGCAGGGTCCTCTGGGGATGCGGCCCCTGGGGATCAAACATGCAGCGTCGGGGTGTTTGTACCCACACCTCGCGCCACACCCTCGCCACACAACGAGGTTCCCTCGAACGTGCACGTGCGCCTACCATCATTGCTCAGGCCCCGGCCCCGCACCTCCGGCCCCGCACCTCCACACGTCGACGTCAAGGCCCGAGGCGGCCCCACGCACCTCCGCGTAGCGCTGCGCGCGCGGCGCCTCCCGCTGGTCGTGCCGGCGGGCGTACTCGCCGGGGGGTGCGGTGCGGCGGGCACACCCCTCCGCGCTCCGGCACGGTGTCCCACCAGCGCCGCCTTCCCCCCCTGCGTCGCCGCGTTCCCCTTCCACGCCATCATCCCTACCTGCGCCGCCACCCTCCCCGCTCACCCAGACGGCCAGCGCCCGGCCCAGTCCGCCTGCCCTGGCCTCGTGCAGGCACCACTCCAGGCGCAGCCCGCGGGCCGCGCCCCGCTCCGCCAGGTCCTGGGCGCGCGCGGCGTGGCGCGGCAGCCACAGCGCCAGCCTGCCGCCCGGCACCAGGGCGTGCCGCGCCAGGTCCAGCAGGCCACGCAGGATGGGGCCGAGGTGGTCGTCGGTGTCGGCGGCGGCGGCCACGGCCTTGCAGGTGCCCGTATCGCGCCGCACTTTGGGGCTGGGTGCCAAACAGGATGCGTCTTGATCATCGACCTGACACAGTGGGCAATCGACCCCCGCTGCAGCACGCAAGGCATCGACGCCCGGCGCAGCGACCGTCCGGTGCCCGTCGCCGCCGTGCCGCACGGCACGCACGCCGTAGGGCGGGTCTGCCAGGAGCGCGTCCAGCCAGCGCCCGCGCTGCGCGCGACGCGCGGCGCCGACCGCGTCCAGCACCGCCCAGTCGCTGCCGGCGGGCCCGGCCCCGGCCTCGGGCAGCGCGCCCCGGGCAGCGTCGGAGCCCAGCGCCAACCGGCAGCCCACAGTGCCCAGCGCGGCATGCGGGAGGGACCCCGACCCGCAGCACGGGTCCCAGGCCAGGCTGTGCCGCGCCACGCGCGCCAGACGCACGGTCAGCGCCGCCAGCAGGGGCGGCAGGGAGGTGGGGCCTCCTGCGGCGTGGGACGGCCGCCTCGGGGTGCCGCCGAGGCGCGCTGGGCGGGCCAGAAGGTGCCCGGCTATGAGCGGGCCGCCGTCGGGGACCTGGATGCAGGCGCGGCCGGGGCCAGAGGGCTTGACCCCGGCGCGCTGCAGCTCCGCCCTGACCCGCTTCTGGGCCGTGCGGGCGCCCATGGTCCCGTCCCCGGCGACGACCATCTCGAAGGGGGGTCCGGGGTCATGATGGGAAGCGCCCTGCTGGCACTCCCCGGCAAGCCCACCAGCGTCGCTGGCACTGGCTTCCACCTGTGAATGGTGGAGAGGGGGAAATGCTCCACCGCTCAGCTTGTGGCGGATGCCCGTGGTACGCAGGTCATCCCCAGCATCTACAAGGGTGCGGCCACATGAACATGTCCAGACGCGTCGAAACACAATGTTGCCTGGAGACGAAACACGCCCATTACCCAAATAGCCCACCTTCACCAGGCATTTGAGTAGATCAGAGGACGTGCAGGCAGCAACCACGGCATCTGCATCGGCGCCCACTGGGACAGAGGCCAGCAGGAGGTGGCTGGAGGAGTGCACGATGGGTAGCTCGGCCAGTCGGTCTCCGGTGTGAAGGGCGTAGGCCGCATGTATTTCGGGAATGCAAAACTCCCGCAGCTCGCGGCAGTCCTTGGAGCCATCCCAAACCAGCAGCAGCCTGCCAGGGCTCACAGCCTCGCCGCTGCTACACGGTGCTCCATGACAGGGGCCGTCCAGGGCCATGCATGGTTTACTCGACACAATCAATGTACTCCTCTGTCACGTCTGACAGAATTAAAATACCAGGCCCATGCCTTCCAGTCGATTAGTGTGCTAGATCGCAAAGGTGTTCTGCACACGTAGTATTCAGGGCGCGACTTCCGGAGACCCCATGAAAAAATGCCGTATGCGGGCGCAAGTACACAAGAAATGATGATTGTATATGACTACCATATGAGATGACGAATACCGAGCACTTACACGTCAATGGACACTCGCACCGTGCTGGCCTTCTCAGCCGGAACCTGCGTAGGTGCCGGGGCGTGCTGGTGGGCGGTACGGCATGGTCTACCGAGCAAGCGCACTACAGAGTATGGTAGTGGATGCAGGCCACCACTGCCGCCTCTTCCGCACCCCGGTGAGGGTCCCTTCGATTTCTCCAAGTTCGAGGAGGACGAGGTGGTGGCTGAGCACCTCACCAGGAATGTCCAGTTCTTCGGCCTGCCCTCCCAGAAGCGAATAGCCGAGTCCTTTGTCGTGGTCGTGGGTCTTGGAGTGAGTGATTATCAGGATGTGGTGGTGGGCTGTCTAATCCAGGGCGGAGGGAAGGGGCTGGTGAGGGATGCCATGCATCCCTGGACCACCTGGCTGAGCACTGCTTCTTCAGGCAGTCAGTGCCGGGAAGCCCGGGGAGTGATGATGGCTCCTGTGCGGGCGGCCAGAGTCTGCATCCTTTACGATCTAATAACCCTCATCCCCGCTCTCTTTTCGTGCAGGGAGTGGGCAGCCATGCAGCACACCTTCTGCTCCGCTCCGGGGTGGGCCGTCTACGCCTCGTTGACTTTGACCAGGTGTCGCTTTCGTCCCTGAACCGACACTGCAATGCGACACGCGCAGACGTGGGCATGCCCAAGGCAGAGTGCCTGGCGGCCTACTTCCGCCAGGTCATGCCCGAAGCCCAGGTGCCGGAAGGGGTGTGTGTCTAGGACAGCCCTGGATGTGGTGTGAGCGGTGCATGAAAGGTCTTAGCGGCACGCAGCAGCACATGCCGCCTGTCCCACACTGATGCCTTGACTCACGCCAGCTGCGCAACGCAGCGCAAGTGAATTTGATCCGTCGCACATACGCTCACCTGCTCCAAGATCGAGGCCGTGCGTGCCATGTACACCGAGGAGACAGAGGAGCACATCCTCGCCGGGAACCCAGACTTTGTGCTGGACGCCATCGACAACATCGACACCAAGGTGTGAGAGGGGTGGGGCTCGGGGCCGCGAGGAGGTGGGACCACAGGCTTTGTGGCGCCCCAGACCTGGGCATCCCCTTTGGAGCCAGGAGGGGGGTGGCGTTGACAACTGGGTCCTTGAAACCCCGGTGAGGTGCTGCGCCGGCCCCTGCAGATGTGTGGGAGTTTCCTTCTCGATCTCGTTTCGTGGGATCATCCCAGCGGCCCCTTCCCCATCTCCCTCTGCCCCGTGATACACACCCACACGTGCCCACCATTGCAGGTGGCGTTGCTGGTTGCGTGCCGGGCGCGGGGGATCCCAGTGCTGGCCTCAGCGGGGGCCGGCGCCAAGGCCGACCCCACTCGCCTCCGCATCGTGGACGTGGCGGAGTCGGTGGCAGACCCGCTGGCCAGGGCGGTGCGGCACAGGTGCGGAGTGAAGGTGGTGGAGGAATGGGGGAATTGAGCGTGAGGGATGGGCCATGGGGAGGGTCCAGGCGCGTGCGGAGGATCTCTCCTGGCGGCCCCAGGACTGGAGTTATGGCAGGGTGCGATCCTGGCGGCGGTAAGCCCCGCCCTGGCAGGAATTTCATTGTTGCAGGCATGACTGGATGCACGGGCTGGGCAATGGCCTCTGCAGCCTTCCCCATGTGCCACCCACACACACTTCCCCCCTCTCTCCTGCGGCCACATGCAGGCTTAGGCGGGAGCATGGCATCGCCGACGGCGTGCCGGTGTTGCTGTCCACGGAGAAGCCGCGCGTCGGCCTGATCTTCGGCGGCGAGGAGGGCGCCAGTCCCCTCGACTACCAGGTGCCGCGGTGCTGCCGGGAAGAGGGATGGCCACAGGTTGGCTCTGGGTGGCGGCAGGGACAATCCCGACCGCCCGTGGGCCGTGCTCCGTGGAGCCCTACGACGCCTCCAGGCGCGCACACCCAATCCCTGATGCCCAGTCCCCTCCTCCCAATCCCAAAGGTCGTCCCAAACTTTCGGATACGGACCATCCCCGTCCTGGGCACGATGCCCGCCCTGTTTGGCATGGCGGCCGCCAGCTGGATCCTGTGCCAGCTGGCGGGCAAGCCCTTCGTCCCGGAGCCCGTGTTCACGATAGAGGTGCGTGCGAAGGCCGCCACGGGGAGTGACTGAATGGGCACGCCGGCCTCGTGCGCAGGTGCTGTCGGCCCTCTTCTCGCCCATCAGACCTGGGGACAGCCGGGCACTTCTCCCTGCCAAATCAACGTCGCAGATCAAGCAGTACCAGACGCAGCTGCACCGGCTGGAGGACCGCGAGCACGCTCGGTTCGGGACCAGCGCCGGTGTGCAAGTAGACCTGCAGGAGGTGAGGAAGGGTGCGTTTACGGGGGAAAGGATCGGTACGGGGCTGGGTGCGGCATGGTCCGTGGCGCCGCTCCGCGGCGCCGTTCCGCACTGTGTCTTGAGGGCGCTGAGGTTACCCCCAGGAGCACTTGGAAGGCCCGACCCCATAGTCCACCCTCCCTGCCAGGTGGAGGCCCTGGTGCGGGAGTACTGGCGCGGCCGCAGCGCACGGCAGGCGGTGGGCTCCAACGACAAGGGCCTGGGGCGCAGCATCGGGCACCTGGCGCTGACGCGCTGGGACGCGGGCCGCCCCGCCTCGCCCGGCAACCTGGTGCTGCTGACACAGGAGGAGGCCGACGCGCACGACGCGCTGGCACAAGGGAGCCAGGGCAGCGTGCACGACGCGCTGGCGCTGCAGGCGCTGCGGGCGCGGGAGCCCGCCTTCTGCGCACGGGTGGAGGCCGTGCTGGGCCGTGTGCGCGCGCAGTTTGGGTGCTGAGCGAGGCCGGTGGTGGGAGGGGAGTCGAGGCCGTCCCAGCCTCCCCCGCTCATCCAGGCGGGCGCAGCATCTCTCCCAGCCTCCATCCGGGGCGGTCTCGGAGCCTGCCCACGCGGCTCAGAGGATTGCTACGAGCGCGCACGGGACCCGCGCTCCCAAGATTCGCCGCTCTACGCCACTTGTATCCCAACATAAGCCGCTGCACGCACGCCCCCAACCGCCCCACACGCCCTGCCCGGCTGCACATGGCTGTTACAGCGCGTCCCCCTCACACGCTGTACCATGATCAACGCATGACCATGCACAAGGGAGTCGGGCACGGTGAACAGGAGAACACCCCCTGAGCCTCAGCCCTGCGCCGGCTCCTCCGGGGGCTCAACGGTTGGCTCCCCGTCCTTCACGCTCACTCCCTTCTCAACCTCGGCGGCCAGCTTGTCAGCCTCGGAGGGCTCCGCCTCCTCCGCACCCTCCTCCGCCTGTGGTGGAGGGGCCAGTGGACAGGGAGTCGGCTCCTGCCAACATTATGCAGGTGGAGGGGGATGCAGCGGCAGGACAGGCGTTGTTGACGGAGTGTGGCCCTAGCGTGTGGGCCACTCCTCCCCCCTTCCCCCGCAAAACCAAATGCGCAGGCCCTCAACGCTCCCGGCCCAAGAGGGCCCACTGGCATGCGCGAGAGATTCTTGGGAGAGTCGTGGGGATTTGGCGTCCAGCCATCCGCCCCGCGCACCTGTGGGGCGTCCCCAAGCAGGGCCCCCATGTCCTCGGCAGCCTTATCATAGGCAGCCTTGAACTCCTGCGCCCGCTCCGCTGAGGCAAAGCGTATGCAGAACAGCTCCATTCGCTGCTCCTCGCTGGCAAAGTCGACACAGGACCAGACCATGGACTTCTCGCTCCCGGTGTGCTCCTGGACCTTGGTCCCGGGCATGATGATGTGGTTGCTGCGCACCTTCAGCGTCTTCTCCTGCCTGAACAGGAACCGGATGCGCTGGTTGGCTTTGTGCTGCAGCACGCGAGCCTGGCCAATACCCCGCTCCTTCCACTCGTTGGCGTCGGCATCGAAGCGGTACAGCTTGGACTTGCTGCAGCGTGGCTCAGAGGGTTAAGGAAGGCGGCTGGGTATGCTTGGCGTCAAGGAGGACATTGATGCCAGGGAGGCAGGGCGGACGGTGACAGGATCGTCTGAACCAGCTCTCGATGCATTCGATGCCAAGGTAGGCTGTGGTGGACCCTGCAGCTCCTTCTCCCACAGTGGGTAGTTGCCTGGCAACCCCCTCCCCACCACAACACCCCCACTCCACACTCACGCGTCGAAGAGAGCGGTCTCGTCCTCCTCTCCTGTGCTGACCTCCACCTCATCTAGCTGCACGATGGGCTTGAACTCGGCAGAGCAGTCCTCCTCGCCGGCCTCCTCGCCGTCGTCACCCTCCTGATCACCGGTGGTCGCCTCCCCCGCCTTCACTCCCGTGAATCCACCAAAGCCGGTCCCCGTCCCGAATGTGGAAGATGACCCGAAGACAGGGGTGGGGGAGGGCGCCTGCGTGGTATGAACAAGGTTTGTAAACCAGTGTGATGGAGGTGCAGGCACCCCGGTCCAGCACCATCCCACGATTTCTGGCACAGCTTCACATGCCCCGTGTCACATCACCTGTGTCTCCAGCGCCTCCGTGCTACTGGTTTCTGGCTTCGCGTCAGACATTGTGCGGGACTGGGAACTGCCTCGAGGGGGCAAGGGGTCACCGCAGCCTCGGTCCGATGAGAAGAACGGCAGCACCAATCTAACGTGTGTATGGATTGCGCCGGAAAGCTTCACGTGAGAAGGGAGAACCGCACCTGAAGAGCCCTGGGGACGCTCACGGAAGGTCCGCGCTCGGAGGGCATTATTGCGGGAGCTCTCCAATATCACTCCACCGGTGAATGAGATCATCAGACACTTGCATACTGCATGTGATTGTACAGACCCTCAATTTGGATCACAATAACAGACTCGACAGACAAACTACGTTATTGTCTAGGATATCTGCATGAGGTCTTCATGCTCATCACGATTGTGACGAATGACCAGAGTTGCAATGGAAGCGGATGTGACAATTGGCATCATGAAGAGTGAGGATGAGTTGCCTGGTACCTGTTATTTTGCATTCGGTTATCGAGCCGAGGGGCATCGATTGGTGCTGATATCCCCCGATCATCTTCACATACACAAGACCACTGACCCTTACATGCTGTCTGCCATGCAAGGTACCTAAGTTCTTTCTCTCAAGCTGTACTTTAAATTATTCTGCGATGGACCGACACTACGCATTACTTACGATATGTATCTGTTTGCACTGTGATTAGATCGTATCTGTATTTACGCCGATTGAGCCACCGAGCAATAACCCACCCCCTTCCCTTGCTCTGGGGGTGACCATCGACCCCGGCAGGCCATGTGCAGTGTGCTTCTCGCAGCTCAACCCCCGGGCTGGTGAGGCTGACAAATCCTCTTGCCGACGTTTGGAAATCTGAAACAACGCCAATCCTCAAAAGAAGCCAACATCCTCCAAAAGCGCCCTCGGTTTCGCTGTGAGGAGTGCTGCCATGGGCAACGTCGTGTCGTATGCTGAGGAGGCCGTCGTCGTCGCGGAGGTACCTGCGGTGCAGATAGCATTTGCGATACTGATCTGTGCCATCTTTGGTTTTAGGAGGACGAGCGTCCTGGCGTGGCGAGCAACCCCCCCCCCCCTTTTTCCTCGTGTGGCAGGCACCCGAGGCTGAGGAGGTAGAGAGCCCCGAACCCGAGAAGGAGTCTGTGGAGGCCGAGGCTGTCGAGGAGGAGGAGCCCGAGAAGCGTCAGATCACGGTGCGTGACGGTGGCGCGCTCTTCTTCGGGTGACCATGAGGATGCGGGGCAACCTTGGTGGGTCTTCCCAGTGACTCTCAAAAAGTGCCGAGGTTTCCATTCAAAACGGAATTAAGCACACTCTTACCCACAACTTGACCCCTTTGCAGCTGAGCACATCCCCTGTGGACTTCCGCTTCCCCATCACCAACCAGAGCCGGCACTGTTATGTCGCGGTGAGGGCTTGAGTCAAGTGACATCGGTCATGCGGCATGTGGAGGTGAGTTTGCCAGCACCGAAGCCCTCAACTAGCCCCCACCTTCCCACCGGCGCAGTACTGCGAAGCACATCGCTGTTTCCAGCAGAAGGGCGAGGAGGATTCAGAGTGCCAGCGCCTCGCCAAGGTCTACAGGTCCATCTGCCCTGTGGAGTGGGTACGTTGACGCCTGGTGTGGCCTCTGTGGACAACTTGTACCTCCTGTTCTGTTGGTTGTGGCTCTTGCCAGGTCTTGGGTTTGCAGTCTGAGTGTGGTGTGGTGTCTGTGGATTGCATGGCTTTCTAGTGTATCCTTGTGCATGGCTCGAGCCACTGCTTTGGGGGCAGGAGGTGTGCAAAATCCTGTGTATTGCAGGATATCCCTGGAAGCATCCCAGTGTGTTTGTTCTCTGATTTGATACCCACCCTGGAATGGGTGGGCATGGCAAGCGAGTGACGCATTGCTGACCATCGCACTGTCTTCTACATTGCAGCTGGAGCAGTGGAATGAGGCACGTGAGAACGGCAGCTGGTGAGCCGGCCTTGTATGACCTGAAGGATGGTTGTACAGCCTCTTGATGGGATGACCCAGCGTGTGTGTCCCCCCTGCCACTCGATGACACCCCCACTCTGTTGTCGCACTGATTGGCAGGTGGGGCAAGTATTGAGTTGCGAGTGCGGTGAAGACTGGCCTCCTGCTCTGGCTGGGACCGAGGACCCCAGCGAAACACCTAGGGGAGCATGCTTGGACTGGTGCTCCTCCATGGCTGCATTACCCACCCCCTCCTGTTCATGCGCAAAGAATTTACCATGCCATTCTTCCACAACAGTGGGCGGTGGTCATGTTTTGTAAACATCACAGCACAGCAGACTAAAGGTACTCAACTGCAGGTGACGTGCACGCCATGCCCTACCAGGGGGGCGGAGCCCGTCAGCAAAGGAATGCAATGCATGGGAATACCCTTGTCCCCCTACCAGGCAAGCGCCGGTTGCTAGCAGCTTCTTCCCGCCAACGGGATACCACTGGCGCAGTTGGTTGCCTCAAATGGCGAGCCGGGCGATGGGGGGTTGGAGGGAAAGGGAAGCAGGGGCGGGGTCCACCAAAAGCTGTTGAATGAGGCGCCCCAGCAACAAAGCACTTGGTCAGCATCAGGATGTTGATCGCCCCGTCGACACGCCGGTCGACGACCCTGACATTGCACATCCGGTTGTCGCAGCGCTTGGTGCCCCAGGCCTCCATCAACTCCTCCACCCCCCTCTTTGCCTGCCTGTAGCGGTGGGTATGCAAGGTGGTGTGCCAGTCGCAGCACATCTTTGACGTCATGTGCTCGTCAATCACAGCCACATTGCATACTTTCCGCAGGGGGCGAAAGAAGGGTGCAACAGGAAGAAGCGCACAAGGGGCAGCGCCAGGTCGGCACTGTTGCCAGAGTTGGTTGGAGTTGGCGTCCACGAAAATAAATGGCGATCAGCTGCACAGGGTATAACAAGAAACCGGGTGCAAAGTCTGCCAGGTTCTCCCCTTTATCTATTGTGGGTGGCAAGGGCATGTGCGACTACGCCAAAAGAACCACACATTCGATATTCAGACTCGGTCAATCTGAAGGTGACTACTAGCAGCTGCTGCCACCTACCGCCCAGCTGCGTGCTGCTGTACTTTGCGAGCCTAACACCCCCCGACCGACAGCATCCATCGCAAGCTAGAGCCACTGCAATCCGATGGACCAAGGGTAAAGAGGGTGTGTTTGGGAAAGCAGGACACCTGGTCATCCTGTGGAGGAAGCAGGGGATTGACGATCGTTACAGGCTGTGTCGGAACACGTTTAGTGGATACAGTCCAGGACTCCATTCCTCAACCATCACCTCAAGAATTGACTGCAAAGGTGTTTTGTGTCTAGGTTGTGGGTCAAGGATGCAAACTTGCTATACCTCACGCAGGAACTCCTCCATGGCCACATTCATGTGAGCCATACTTTACTTAGGCCATTGTCGTGACCTATGCAGGTTATACCAGGTCCTCCTGCTCGAGGTCGGACATGCTGATGGTTTAAGGCACAGGGATGCGCATGGATGAGGTGTGTTGTGGAGGGTCTGCCTCCTGATGCCCTGATCGGGTGAACCAGGCATTTCAGTCATAGGTGCATGCTCTGGCCTCCAGATCCTTTTTGTGAGTGGTGCTCAGGCGTTATATATGCTTATCAGAAAAGGTACAAAGCGAGGACATGCCGGGAGGATGGGCATCGGGCATATTACTGCGAGTAAGATGCTGAGCAGAGGCTGCCTTCAAAAGGTCACTCGTGTATGGTTGTTGTCACCCAAGCCACGACCGAAGAGCTCTGTGGGCCTTCAAGTACAAGACGATCCACCGAAGTCGGGTCTGGTACGTCCACCGTAATGCCGACATATTCCGGTTTCATTTGTGGGGGAAGGTGTGCTCCCCGGATGGTCGCCGGTGTCACAGTTTTCGTTCGACTAGAACTAAAGAGAGGGGGGTGATCGAAATGGGCACGCAAAATTAATTCAACAGTTTATGCACGAAATCGTTAAAACCCCCATCTAACACTAGTGCGATATCTGGCAGACAAGGACATCCCAGCTCGGCGGGGGAGTTTAGTTTGGCAAGATGCCGTCGCACGGACGGATACCTCATTGGATCGGACTTCTCCTTCTGTTAGGCCTGGCTGTGCTCTCAAACGTAGGTTGGAAAGATCTTGGTTACATGAAAGGTTCTTCTGGAGGGCTGGCAGGGTGATTTACCCAGCCGCGGCTTCTAATGCTGGCAAGACCCCACCCTCCTTCTCCCAGGGCGCGTGCACTTCCAAGTTCTTCTCACTCCCGGCAGCCACGTGAGTTGCGAATGGCATACTCGGGTGGTTGTCGT